TCAACTCTGACAAGTCTCTATGTAGTTGCATACAGTTAAGTATCCTAATTTCATAACACTAGCATTGCAGCAGAAGCATACCTTTGGTGTTACGTATCAAGAAATCCATAGATGACAGTGCTTTACAAAGATCTCAAGGAAAAAGAAAAACTTCAGCTGGAATTTTTATCTTATTAGACACCACAGAACAAAACAAGAGTGAGCCCAGGACTGAGAAATTCAATTTTTTGCCTCCAAAGAGATGCTTCATTTTTCTTGTAGTTACAGTATTTATAAGATTTCCTTCTGATGCACTTTCTCTGACTTGCTGAATAGCAGGTCAAGTGAGGTAGTTCTCTCCCTCCACAATGCTCTCGTGAGACCCCGCCTGGAGTACTTCATACAGTTCTGGTATCCCCATCATAAAAGGGACATGGGACCTGCTGGAGCGAGTCCAGAGGAGGGACACAAAGATGACCAGAGGGAAGGAGCACCTTTCTTACGAATACAGACTACGAGGGCTTCGGTTGTTCAGCCTGAAGAAGGCTGAAAAGAAAAGGGGAGGCCTTAGAGCAGCCTTCCAGTACTTAAAATTGGGACCTACAGGAAAGCTGGGAAGGGACTTTTCACAAGGGCCTGTAGTGACACAACAAGGGGGAACATCTTTAAACTGAAAGAAGAGAGATTTAGATTAGATATCAGGAAAACATTCTTCCCTGTGAGGGTGGTGAGGCACTGGCACAGGTTGCCCAGGGAAGCTGTGGATGCCCCATCCCTGGCAGTTCAAGGCCAGGTTGGATGGGGCTTTGAGCACCCTGGACTAGTGGAAGGTGTCCCTGCGCATGGCATGGGGGTTAGAACTAGATGATCTTTAAGGTCCCTTCCAACCCAAACCATTCTATGATTCTATGAGATCAAATAACTGTCTGACTTTCACTCCATCAGGGCATTAAGATAATCTTCCTATTTCAGTACTCTTCCTCCCCCAAAATGCTAGACCTTTCTCTGTTTTGTACAGTGTACTTGACCATTAATTTGGCCACTTCAAAAGTTCTAACATACACAGCATGATTACATCAGGAAATGACCACATCACCTTGTTTTTCTATAGCTTGCTGAGCTGTCTCTAAGCAACAATCCCCTCCTCCCAAATCCCAGGTTTAATATGATCAGGTAGTTAAAACCCATAAAAACATGTTTCTCTCCTTCACTGCTTAGCTGAAACTTCTTTGACCATCTAACTTCTCCTCGGTTTCAATTAACTGCTCTTCCCTCGCTTTAGCAAGGGTAAGCAGCTGCCTCACTTGCTTCTTCATCCATCTCCTTTACCCTGCTCCCCATCCCGAGCCCTTCTGGTATCTACAAGAGTTCTGCTCCAGAATTGGTGGTTTCTTGAAGGTAACATACAATTCTGTTTGAAGAGAAGCATACCTTAGCTGGGGTTTAAGAATCAGAAGTTCATGAAAAATCATTAAAACAAACCAACTTTAGGATTTAGTGGCACAGGGGGAAAACTGAAAAGGAAAAATTGTCTCTTGCTGTGAACAGCTGAAAATGTGTCAACTTCTTCAAGGGGACCTATAGTTACTGTTATGGTATATGCATCTTTGTTTACTGCATAATTAAATTAGCCTGTTTTCTACTGGAGGAAATAGTTATTTTTAGACTAATTTTTATATGCTGTAAGAAAACTGAAGTTACCATGTCAACACATTTCTTTCCAACTTTCAATAACCACTTGCAAAAATATTTGTGCCCAAACTTTTGAGGCACATGGTTTTCTCAACATTCCACCTTCAATTTAGTTCTCTTTCAAAGTTAAGCAAGTAAGATATTTTTTCCTAAGACATAGATGGAGTCACTTCAGCTTAGAGGCCAGAAGTGGCCTGGCTTATTTAGTATGACCTGCAGCCATTCCAGATTTACCTTTATGCCCTGGCATGCTGTTAATGATACATGAGCACATTCAGGGTTTTTTTGCATGAATTTATGGGAAAAATTCAAAAGATTTTTGGGAATTCTATTCAGCCTTTATCCATGAAAATGTTTCTCAGCCTTTCTTAGAAGAATAGCTTCTAAATAAGAAGCAAAAATTCTTTCTCATGAAACAGTACAAAAGTGACATTAATTTCATGTGGTTGTATTTCAGACCTAAACAGAAGACTTTAAACCAAAGTGACACCGCAAATTAAGTTTGTATCCCCACTCCAGAAACACTGTAAAGACAGTGGTTCAGACAATAATTTATTTTCTTTTATTCTATTAAAAGCAGCAGAAGCAAATTAGAGGAGAAGAGAGGCTGGAAAAAGAAGACAACATGTTGGGATTATTAGAATGTTGTAGCAGCTAATTCTTCAGTAATCAACAGGCTGCTGTAATGGTTTTTTCTTTTAGAGTCTTTAATGCTGCATATTGTACTACTTCTACCTCTGTTGGTATTTACTACGAAATCATTCACCAGAATACATGAGTTACACATTGTGTGGGTTTGCTCATTTCACTAATTGAATTTTAAGCACTCTATATTAGCCTGTTACACATTTTTGCTATCTAGAACCATCTCCCCTGGGCAGGTTAAAAAGGGTAAATACTGCGTAAGTTAAGAAATCTTGCATTTGGAGAAACAAATACTAACATCAGGCCCATGCGCCAAAAATATCCCTGACGCCTTTTTTCATTGAAGACAGACCATGTCCCCTGCCCTAACAATACAAAGCCTTGTGTATTTATCTCATTTTCCAAAGAAAAAATGAAAAATGGTGAAGCTAACTCCACTCACAAGTCCATTGGTCTAATAGCAGTGACTGCCGTGTAAGAAAATGAATGGCTTCAACCTTAACTACAGTATGTTCTGGATCAAAAAAAAACCCCACATATAATTATAAAATGCACCGACTTTGACTCCTAACTTAAATCTTAATATATTTACTTAAAAAAATATTAATTTATATTGCTTGAAAGCATTGAAGCTTGCTTGAACAGATCAAAATAGTAACCCTCTTCCCAAAAACAAAAGACCTCCCACTACCAACTTCAATATTGTCTCATAAAACTCTGCAAAGTAATTCGACACTCTGCCCGATGTATTTTAAAAACACTAAAGCTAGCATAATTGAATGCTTAAAGGAACAAAGATAAGACTGAATCATTTGGCAGCTGCTGAGAAATTAGAAGAATGGTGATAGCAGCAGTTAGAGGAAATTATTGAAAATGGCAGACATTACTCAGAAAAAGATACAGGAAGCATGGTGTTGTGGTGCTGGTCACAAAGAAGTCAGTAGCAGTCAGATGAGAGGTCTCTGTGGCACAGTGCTTGTTTCTACTTTACCCATTTAATGTCTTGATTTCTAAAGGAGGACTGGAGCATATTGTAACTGTATAAAACTATGAAAGCCAAATATACACTGCACAAATCTAGGTGGGAAAATTTATGTATATAAGTCCCAGAGACCCATAATGCAGAAGGGCATCAGGCCCTTTAAGGAACTGAGTGATTTCTGGTTTGAAAAGCACTGGATTTCTGCATTACAGGTAAAGCCACAATTACGAAGATATCATACTCAAAAATATAAATATAAACTGGCATAGCTTCATTGATTTTAGGTGTAAACTGCATCCCTCCTGTTGCTTACTCACTGATTTGTAATGTGTGTACAAGGAACATTACACAGATCCCCTCTAGGTGACAGGAACTGCCTTATGGGAGCTGGAACTTGCAGATTACACTTTATGAATGGGGATTTTCCTCTTAAATTTTTGGTTGCTATGAGAAGTGGAACGTATACTTGGTTCAGATATCAGATGGGAGTCTCTTTGGACTGAGAGGGCAGAAGGAGGTAAAGCCTGTAAAAATCTTGGGAAGATCTCTTTATCTGTGGGCACACAGACAGTTGGATCAGGACCTACCACCCAAAGCTGTTGTTGGTGCCAGGCTGTAAGATTTCATCCATGAAAGTTCAGTAATACAGTAGATACAATGCTCATTTAACAAAGGAAGGAAAAGAAAAAAAAAGAAAAAGAAGATATCGACTACTATAACTAAACATACAAGCAAAACCACTAATTTAAATGTTTCCACATGGAAATATGAAGAAAAAGCCTCTCTTACAACTTCTAAGTGATCAGAAGTGAAACTGGAGATACTTCATGGTCTCCTAAAAATCCTAGTCTTGACAAAAAAGTAAAACTTGCTGTCATTTTCCAGGCAGTAAATGTTTTACTGCTGGGAAAAGATTTTGATGTTTGTAATTTCTATTGAAGAGCACTATGAAGTAGTTAAAAATATTGCCACATCTGAAAAACAGACCAACGGGAAGTATAAGACACTTGTTCATCTGTGACTTTTCTCACTTGGTATTATTTGCAACCATACTTTCATGTCTGGCAACAGTGCCAACTCTACTAAGGATCATATATTACTTTTATCATGTTGATTACATATGTTCACCAGTTTTGCTGCCTATATATGATTTGTGTGGTTTGCACATACTTAGTGACACAATCCAGAGCATGGCATTTTCACAGAAAATGTGTTTACTGCGAAAGTGTTCCTTAGAAGTTTGCGTTCCTTTCAGCTTTGATCTACATGACATCAAGAATCCTACAGTTTGAATATATGTTCACCATTTATATTATTAAGATCTATCTCTTTCACACTATATGGCTACTGAGCACTTTGGTAGTCGCAAAAAATTTCCTGTTCTCTTAGGTGAACTTAGTCGTAGCTGAATAAAAGAAAGCCTCTTAAAATGTTCTCATCTGTGAGCTTAGGCTTCGTAATGACTTGACATTTAAATTCTGGTATTCATCAGCACTTCACAGAAGAACTTGGTTTGTCTAAATGGGTTTGAAAGCCCACAAGTGAAGAAAATCAGAAAAACCTGGTTTTGAATATCAAAAGATTGTATGTGAAAAGTATTTTTACAGGCTGCACGTACCCATTTTATTGATCAATTAACTTCTCCCAAAATGAATTTTTCTGAGACCATACATGAAAACCCAACCCCCTCTCCAACACTTACTGGTAAATGTCTTTTCTGAGCACAGCTCTACTAAGAGGGTTGTCAGCCTGAGGAGCCATAGACACAGATCCAATCTTGAGAACCAAAGTGTCTTCTTTAATTGCTGGATTAGCTGCAGTCAGGAGAAGAGAAAATACGTGTTTGATTAAAAGTCAAATGCTCGTAGCAGAAACTCTGAAAAACTATTTCTTAAAAATATCTAAATAAGAATGTCTGCTAAAGATTCAGTTTTGCACAGGAGCAACAACTAATGCATAAAAAACCCCAGAAACAAACCCGAAAACTGAAACACCATAAAAACAATAGCACTGCTGTTTGTAACACATAAAAGACAGAAGTATTGTTATTTCATTTCCCCACAGAGTTTTATCACAAAACTAAATCCTCATCTGTGACCTCTCATTTTCTCTGATGGTTGTATTCCACAGACTTATTTTGTGATTTGCCTGTTTCTTCTTATCTGCTGAAATAACAGCATGTAAAGCAGGCTGAATCATGCCCCGTTTTTAATATGGTGCTTGAGACACGGTAGGATATTTATTGTAACCATCCCAGTAGCATTTGGTACCAGTTGCAACACACATGAAAACTTCAAACGCAAGGACTGAAAAAGAGAATCTGAAATTTGACACATACACAAAGAACAACATGCAACAGTGGACAGTAAATTTCACATCAATAGCAAAATTACTCCAAGAAGAAAGATCTCTGCTTTCCACTTCATGTACATCATAGTCAAATTTCAGCCACATTTACAAATTTTCAGTTTTAAAAACAAACAGTAGTCATAGTAAATAGAAAACCAAAGTTCTGCCCAGAAAAAAATAGCAACACATTTCTCATAGAATAGAATCATAGAATCGTCAGGGTTGGAAAGGATCTAGATCCAACCCCCCTGCCATGGGCAGGGACAACTTACGCTAAACCATATCACCCAAGGCCTCGTCCAACCTGGCCTTCAACACCACCAGGGATGGAGCATTCATAACCTCCCTGGGCAACCCCTTCCAGTGCCTCACCACCCTAACAGGAAAAAATTTCCACCTTATATCCAACCTAAACTTCCCCTGTTTAAGTTTTAACCCGTTACCCCTTGTCCTGTCACTACAGTCTCTAATGAATAGTTCCTCTTCAGCATCCCTATAGGCCCCCTTCAGATACTGGAAGGCTGCTATGAGGTCTCCATGCAGCCTTCTCTTCTCCAGGCTCAACAGCCCCAACTTCCTCAGTCTGTCTTCATACAGGAGGTGCTCCAGTCCCCTGATCATCCTCGTGGCCCTCCTCTGGACTTGTTCCAACAGTTCCATGTCCTTTTTATGTTGAGGACACCAGAACTGCACACAATACTCCAGGTGTGGTCTCACAAGAGCAGATTAGAGGGGCAGGATCACCTCCTTCGACCTGCTGGTCACACTCCTTTTGATCAGCCCAGGATATGGTTGGCTTTCTGGGCTGCAAGTGCACACTGAAGCCGGCTCATGTTCATTTCCTCATCGACCAACCCCCTCAAGTTGCTCTGAATCTCTTCTCTGCCCAACCTGTAGCTGTGCCTGGGATTGCTCTGACCCAGGTGTAGGACCTTGCACTTGGCATGGTTAAACTTCATGAGGTTGGCATCACCACCTCACAAGCGTGTCAAGGTCCCTCTGGATGGCATTCCTTCCCTCCAGCGTATCAACCGGACCACACAGCTTGGTGTCATCAGCAAACTTGCTGAGGGCGCACTCATACTAAACTAACTCTGAAGTTTCCTTAGAGGAAAAGACGGAATCTACTGCATCTCCCTCTCAGCAGACACAGACATACACAAAGCATTTGAACAACATTTTGCCCAGAAGTCAAACCCTCTAGTCCCCACCTAAATATAGATGGTTTGCTTGCCAGAACTAAGGTAGAAAAGTTAAGCTGACAATAACATCCTGTTTGTGACCAAATCAGAACCTGCATTTTCAACTTTTAGATCAAAAATATGGGCAAGGCATTATACTAAGTGTTAGAATTCCTGCCACTGCACACAAAGTTTAGTTGCGGTGTCGGGTTTTTTTTTCCCCTGATACATAAGAAAAAGGAGTAAAGTTACCAAATATACTTCAGATTGTAACTGCAACTTGATTAGGTAGCAGATGTCTAATTCTGAGAACTGGTTCTTAATAAAATAGATCTTAGGCTAAGAATTTTAATGTGTCTGACACTTAGCAAAACCAAATAAACGTAAGACTACTTATCAGAGTCTCTATTATGTAAAGGTTTTAAGATATGGTTCTTTTGTGCGTGGTTCTTCCTGTAAGGTCAAAAAATTAAGTCAATCTTAAACCAGAAAGAGTTACAGGCTTTAATATTTTCAGCTGATTTCTAACAAGTGGTAATGATTTAGGATGCTGAATTCTTATCTCCATACATTAACCCATGACTTCTTCCATTAGTTTTTCAAAATCTGGGAATAATGTATTAAACATAATCACAGTCATTATAAATGTGTAAAAACTGGAGGGGGAAAAAAGTCTACACTACTCAATATAAGTGCAGTGTAGGAAAAAACTAACAGACCAAAGTGTAATAATGTTCACAATCTTACTTGTTTTTACCCACTCATCTCAGTCTTCTTTTTTTGCTGAGATGAACACATTATGCTCTTCTAATCCTTTCTTGTATGGCTTCTCCAGCACCTGATTAAGATTTTTGGTGCTTTTCAGCACCCTCTCCAGTTTTATCAATACCTATTTTTATAACAAAAAGCAAAATGGACATGATATTACAGCTGCAATATGCAGAAGCACAGCTACCTCCCTTATTTCCTTTCACTACGTCCACTGTGACTGTTAAGATGTTTCCAGCCACTGTTTCCCAGGATAGTCTCTCCAGCCTGAGGATACAGTTTGAAACATAAATTGTTTCCTTGATACATAATTCTCAGCTTTACAAGATTTAGTATATTTTCTGCAAGCACTGATTTAAGCACAGTGATCCAGATGCATGGCCTATTGAGTGCTTAACACTATTTTCCTCAGGAAATTCTTTGCAACATACGTTGACATTAACAGCAATGGTTTTACATTTACTTTCAGATTATTAAATACCAATTTCACTTATTATTCCCAATTGACAACTTGAGTTGGTTTGGGGTTTTCTTTTAGACTACTAGCTAGCCATTTTAAATTTATTTAACATTTGCAAAGATATTGTATGCGGATGTATTTAAATGAGAATACCATGAGACACAACGTCAGACTCCTTACAAAAGTCTAAGATTATCAAACCCTTGCACTGAATTGAAACCATAATGAAGAATGACAATCAGATGTGTTGAACAAAATAATTTTCCATAAAGCCATTATTTAGTCAGAAATAAGTAATACTTTGTTAACTGTACCCTGTAAGAGGTATTTTTCCCTTTACATTCTGTGGGGGAGAGTAATAACACTACCTCTCTTCATTTTACTTGAACATCACACTTTTCATTTTACTAGAAATACCTTCAGCTGTTAAAAACCTGCACTTCCAAGGTGTGTTAAAAATTACCCACAGAAGACTAAGATCTCTGAGCACAAGCTACTCTGACTGATTTGACACTCTTCAACCATAAGCAACGAGGATGTTACAGACATCTGTTATGACAGACTTCAAAGTAGAGTCATGTTCATGTGACAAGAATATATCACTTCTACAAATGCAGGGCATACATCCATTCAGTATGCTGCCTTTTCTTTTTCACTATCATCAAATTTATCATGGCCTTTCTAGTGATTCCTGATACTTCTAGTACGTACTAAAAAAAATTCCTATTGTCCTCAAACCAGCCAGATGTGGATTTTCCCTGCCTTTACCACTTCTTACCAGTTTTTTGCAATTTATGATTTTTATTTACAGTGTTCTGCTAAGCAGTAATTCTTGTTTCTATTTGTTATATATCGCTTTTATATATTGTGTTGCCTTTACTTCATTACTAAGGGTGGGCTGTTGGCCAGAGGTTGAAACACTACCTGATGTATTAACAGATCAAACTGTGATGGAAAGCAGCATTGCTTATTGCCTAGGACAGAAGGCAGCCCTCAAGTCCATTGCAAAAAGAAATGCTAATCTTGTGCTGGTGCAAAACCACATGAAACTAAAAGGTTATAAAAGCGTGTGGGTATATTCATGCTTGTGCAAATGTAAATTCCCCAGCATAAAACCCATGATGTTGCTTATTTCATAGTGTATGTGTACCACCACAGTTAACTGTGCAAGTCTGGTACTGCATGGCATGAATAAAGAACAGATTTGCCTTTTTTTTTTTAACTCTACCCAAAAAGTTACAATTACATGCATTTTTGGGGGGGGGGGGGGGAGGACAGCTGCAGTAGCTATCACTAGGTACAAGGTACAAACAGCAGATGACTGACTAGAAAAGAAACTGAGGTCAGTGTTTTTCTACTTTTACTGCAGTGATCACAACTTGAAACACCCAAATTTTAAGGGACTAAAAACCCCTCTTAATCAGTAAATGATGAATGATGATGTTGGGGATGTATCTCCACAACATGTAACAAGTTTCTAATCTAGTACACCAGTAACATGGGTCATATTCAGCTCTTATTCCTTATTATTGCTTCTAATTTCTATTGTTCTTGAAGACAATAAGCAGTAGAAGAGAAAAACTATTTCGCATTCAGAAGCAGAGAAGAGTTTCGGATCATATTTCAGATTTTTCCAGTGGAAGAGGTTTGCTGGATTTCTTACTTATTTAGTAAAGCTAATCTTTACTTTATTCTTCAAAAGCATATATAGTTTTTCTTCCTATCTCCATGCTTAACCATTTTGTTCCCACAGTAGCATTTCTGTTCTTTGCTTGCTATTCTGTTCTTTGCTTGCGTTTTCAAGCAAGGGATAGCAACAGGACAAAGTAGTTTATCATTTCTGTTTAACAAAGTATACAGCTACAGAGCTACAAAAATACAGTTTAAAAAAAAAAAAAATAATCTTTGACAGCACACCCCAGAACTCCCTTCCAACCACAATCATAATTCTTTCTTGCCAACACAGCTAGTCTAATTTTTATCTTCCTGTGTTTTCAGGATTCCCAGTTGGAAAATTGTAGAGGATGCTGGCAAAAAAAATTATCTATGTAAATTCTCCTTGTCTGCACTTCTTGCAATTAGGTTGTGAGAAAAACCTAAAGACTATACTCTTAGGATTATATTGTGTGCTATTGTACATAATGGTAAAAAAAACCACCAACCACCCATACCTACAGGACTTATGTAAACATATCAGGATTCCAGTAAAACTTTTCTCTAGGAGAACTGCTGGCAATGGGAGCAATCACACTCCTGCTAGCTGCTACATGCGGGAATTTTAACACCAGAATCTCTTTATTCACGTACACATATTTCAATAGGGATGTAAATATATTTTAAGCATGAATGGAAAAAAATTTATTACAGAAAAAAAGTACTACCATACATAAAGTAGCTACTTACTGTTGTTTGCAAGAACAGCTTATGCTATCCACACCTCTAAACACCTGAAAGCCTCTTGCATAGAAGTCTGAATGGTTAAAATTTACTAAATAAATGATAAACATTACCATCTTTTGGGCATCGATTATAAGGTACACTTTAATAACATTCTCCAAACTGAACTAGAACATCAAACTGCTTCACTACTTTATGGTTTTCTGGGTGCCAATTCCCACAAGAGCTAAGGCTCCCTGATTACACTCCATTGCTGGAACAGGCGCCTATGGAAGACTGAACTGGTATCAGCATAATGAGATTAACGCAAGAATCACCACTGCAAAATTGGGTTCACTTTCCACGATTCTTGACCATATAGGTATTGGGAAAGCAACAAACTTTTCAGCACGTCTGTAGAGAAGCAGCATGAATGTTGGATGTTTCCTAACACTGCTCTTACAACTGAAGGCCCCAGCAACAGTCAGTGATTTAACTTAGAGTACGTGTTTGCAATATTGAACAGCAAAATAATATAAATACTGTACCTTCAGCAGTGTGACGATCTTCCTCATTTTTGGGAAAGAAGACTCTTATTACACCAGTGTTAATGTAAATCAGAGGCAAGTTGCGGGAAGTTAGAGCATGAGTCCTCATAGGCTGGCCTGGTGATTTTCTTTTCTCTTTTTGACTCCTTGCAAACCTGGCTTGAAAAATGCTTGCAATCGCATTAAGCAAAGGAAAACAGAGGACCACATCAAAGGCCTGAGCAGAGAGAAGGATCTCATGGAGGAAGTGAGGAGAGCCATCAGTGTGACCTTCTGATAGTTTATGGAATGTTCGTCGTTCATTTCTTGATATCAGTTTGTGTCGGACATTTTTTGTCACAGCTTTGGTGTAAGTGAGAGAAAGAAATCCATGTTGCTGGTGTGAGCCATCTAAAAGTTTTGCAGTTGTCTGTTTCAAGGAGAAAAATAAAAACAAACAACTGCTGCAAAAATGTACACATATAACATCCATCACTCATATTCTCTGTTAGTTGTTTATGGTTCTATATTTTCTAATAGTTTTCCACTGTCTTTGTATAGTAGAAAAAAATCTTTCATTTTTCTGAAAGAACAATTTGTCCACAGTGCATCCACACTTCACTGTACTGCGGCAGCTAAAACTGATTTGCTGAACTTTTTGTTTTCTGGTAATTTATGTTATATGCAATTCAAAACTAATCAGCCAAAACCCCCACATATTCAAGGGTCAAAGTTTACCCATTTTTTCTGTTAATTTTTCACACAGATATGTATTTTGATTTCTCCTTCACTTCAGACATTTCAAAAGTAGATCTTAGTCCCTTGCATTACTCCTTCCATATGTGCAAATGGTGCTAAAATAACACATGGATGCTGAGGTAGCTTCACTCCATCTAAAAATGGGTGTATAAATGACCCATAGTCAACTAAGTACTCTAAGAATTGAACTGGTTTTGCCCTCGTCCCCTCTGAGTATTTAAAGAGAACAGCAGCACCACATGCTAAAGTACATCACTTAAATAAAGCTAAACTGTACTGTAATTTAGAAACAGCAGATTCCTTCAAGACATATTTCCCAGCTAAATGTGACAATTGTATGCTTAGCTCCCAGAAGATGCATAGAACAGTTTTCATATTACCTTTGAAAGTCTTTCAGTAATACATTGTTACTGAGTAAAAAATGTAAAAATAAACACTAAGAAAACCGTTATTTGAACAGTATAATAAACATTTTGATAGAATTCCAGTTTGTTTAAATATTAGCTATAATCATGTGAGCACAAATTAAAGCAACTACATTTTGCAAGTAGTTGCTTCTTTCAGCATTTCAAATTTGATTTTAAAATAATTTAATATTATTTAAACTTTTTAATGGAACAATATCTTCTCTTAAATAAACAGGATATAGAGCTTAAATGCTGAAAAACTAGAAGCTTTTATGATTAAGTAAATTAAAACAAATTGGTAAGTTAATTTCCTGTAAGAACTGAAACAAACAAAATAAGAGAAAGTATTACCAATCACTATTCTTGATGAAAATAAATCAGACCACACAGAACTTCCACTAACATAAAGTGATTCTGTACATCCATACATTTGTGAAGATAAATAGTCCAATGTCATAACACATAAAGTCTTTCAAGGATAAACAGGCAAGAAAAAAGAGGTTAAATGTGTGAGATATTCTGAATCAGCAAGTAATGTTCCAAGCATTCAAAAGAATAACTCAAATATAAAACTGCTACATAACAGAATTATAGAAGTGATTTTAAAAGGTTGCATAAAGGAATACTGCAGTAATACAAAGTCCTAAAATCCCTAAGTAGATATCCAAATTACAGGAACAAAATGTGGTATACATTAGTGGCTGTTACATATTTGGTTTTCAAACATTACTGTATGTGCTCACTTGTAATAGAAATTAATCCCATTGACTGCACTGGACTGCTGCTACATACCAGGTGGTGAAACATCTACCTTCATTCTTGTACCTACTAAAAAATGACTGACAACTATTACTAAAGACTAAGAGGGAAGTAACACAACTAATACAATCAGTATAAGCAATACATGTATTCTGTACCAACAAAAAGAGATTACAAGAAAGAAACTAAAGCCATTTGAGTTTTTTTGTCGCGTTTTTTTTGTTTTCTTTGGATTTGGTTTTTTAATCCAATTGGTATTTATTAGTGGAAGTTCTGTAGTAAAATTTTTTTTTAAAGATTCTTACAGAGGGAAAGAAGCCAGAGAAGTTACTGAAAGGGTCCTGCTTGCTGATGGGTCGAACCAACAAAGTACGTCTGTTCAGCTTGTCAGTACAGGAAAGGAACACACCTCCATATTGCCCCAGAGACCAAGAATCTTCCCCAAGACTTGAGGTAATGAACAAGGCATGGAAGAGGGAAAGAAAAAGAAAAAACAGTTGAAATACATTGAACTTGCATGTTTCTACATAATTGGAAGCTAAAGCCTTTGCCATACTGTCCTGGGTCCAGCAGTAGCAGTCATTTTTCTCCTTCTTAGTAGCTGGTGCAGTGCTGTGGTTTTGACTTTCAGCCTGGAAACAATGCTGGTAACACCAATGATTTCAGCTGTTGCTCAGTAATGTTTACTCTGACCAAGGACTTTCTGAGCCTCTTGCTCTGCCAGGGAGGAGGGGAAACTGGGAGGAAGCAGAGACAGGACACCTGACCCAAACTAACCAAAGGGGTATTCCATACCACAGCACGTCATGCCCAGTATATAAACTGGGTTCAGTTAACCAGAAGGGCTAGATTACTGCTCGGGTTGGGCTGGGTATCGGTCAGCGGGTGGAGATTAAGACCATGAGAATAAAAGTACAGTAAAATCCTGGATACAGAAAAGGGACTTACACCTGGATTTTCAGCAGATACCTTCATTAGAACGAGGAGGAGAATGATTACAAGAATTAAAAAACTGAAAGAAAAGCTATATTCATATATGTTACAAATCATTGCACTATTTAGAAAAAAATAGCTATTAAGTACTAAAAAGTACTTTGTACTACAATTCCTTTAACATATGAAGAATTCCTATTTAACATATGAAGAATAAAGAAAAATATGTTGCTGAAGAAGAGTTATTCAAGGTAAGCACCTTAGTTTACTAAAGAAATCTCACCAAAAGCTTTTCTTTGCATTGTAGGAATATTCCTTCAAAATGTCCTGACTGCCAGTCTCCCCCTGGCCTGGAAGACAGAACGTTCACCTTATCTATTCTCTGCTTTTGGCTTTAGACTACAAAGATTTAAAGACAGAGAAAGGTATTCTGAAGATATTACAAAACATAAATGACAACAGTAACAATATTGTCAAGTAGAAGAAGTTTTTGCTTGACTGGTTTGGTTGTTTTTTTTTTTATTTTAAAGCCTCAATATAACTTTAGCAAACAAGTACACCCTGAAGTTGAAAACATTCCTAAGGGAACTTCGGCTCCTGGGAATGAAGTACCTTCTCTCAAGCTTTCCATAAAATCTGTGGACAAAGCAGCTTCTTCAGAGGATGTAACTACTGGGATTCCAAAGCATTTTAAAGCATCATGACTTGATTTTAAAAAGATTTTTTAAAATAAAGTACAAATCCTGATTATAAAATATTACAAAATACAATGTGTACAAACAATAACTGCATTGGGCAAAAGAACAGGAATTCAAATTTTATGTCTTTTTTTTTCAGGCAGCTGATTAAAAAAAAAAAAGTCTTAGAAATGCTTATAACTTTTCTAAACTGATACTGTATTTCCTTCCTACAATATTTTGGGAACAACAGTTGTGCAATAAGACCTTGCAGACACCAGCTCTTGCTTGGGCACATTGCATAACACTGCGCTGCGTGACAGACACAGATGATCAGCGCAGTTCCCTGTGTTACAGTGCTGCTAAGCCACAGCAAAGGAACAGCTCAGTTTTTTAGAAACTTCTTTTATGCCTAAGAGGGTAGAGTATGGTGCTGTAAGTCATTACATGTTGCCACTTTTTAACACATCATGAAAAGATATTTAAGGAATTTCCCATTCAAAAGTTCAGCTAAAATTAATTACTTTTTTTTTTCTTCGTCTAACAGACCAACAGAGCAGTAAGTAGGAAAAAACCACTCTCTGGATTCATACTGATTGCTGTGGTTTTCTTTGGAATCAGATAAAACTCTGAGAAAATGCAATTCTGATTTTATTACTTAACAGGTTAAAATAATTTCACTGAAATTGAACAGTTACCTTCAATTCAAGAAAACAATTAAAAAGGATAAAGAAAAAAAAACCAAACCAACCAAAACACCTGCTGCCTTCTTTCTTCCTACGTGAAATAAAAGTAGAATAACTTCCAGAAATTACCTGTTTCTGTAATGGTCAATATTGAAGCTTTCTATTTTACATTTGATTTTGGTATAGACATCCTGCATATCCACTGAGGCACTGAGATCTTCTACTTCACTGACAACACAAACTTCTGCAATAGACAAAGAACAAAATGATTAATCTGAAATTTGACAGGTTTTAATCTATTTCATTTATTTAATTATCTATTTAATCTATTTTTTTTGCATCAAGTGTCACACTGAGAAAAAAAAACAACCTTAGAATCAAAATCTTTTTACACAAAAGTGTAGAAACTTGGAGGGTTTAGTTCAGTGTTCATAGCATAATTCCTGAAAATGTATAAAAAAATATTTGCCAAGATACTTACTCTAAGAATATATAACATTTCTTTGTCTCAATAATAGTTTTTTAAAATCAAAGGTTCATGTATATCTCTCTGAAAATTACTTTTAATCATTATTCTCCTTTTTTATTCATATTTCTATGAGTAACAATGTTAATTGCTGAGGAACAGCGTTTCCTAGCGAAAAAAAAACAACATAATTTCAAGTCTTGCAGTACATTTACAGAATCTGAGTTCCTTTCAAAAAACTACTGTTCGGATGATAATCCAATTCTAATATCGAAGAAAAAAGAGAAGCTTTGTACCACACATATTTCTTATTTCAACACAAAAGTAGAAACTTCTACTTGAACTCCATATTAAACTTCCTATGACTTTAAGGATTATACTATGATGGTTCAGTTAAATTTGTATTTGAAATTATCAGTAAAAACCTGCGTGTCTATGCATGGACACAAACCACTACTAAATCAAATAAAAATGAAATACAATTGCTTCTAAGGCAATAAACACAGCACTCAAGTAAAACAACCAAGTTATCGACAATTTAATATAATAATTTTTCCAGAAAGGGGAAGTTCATGCTGAAAAACAGTACTGAATTCAGATTACATGTAGTAACCTAACTACAGCTTGTTGCTCTAGTTTAAAAATAGATCTAACCCATTATTTTTGCATTTCAGTGTTTAATATTGTCACGAAATGTTCCATGCTGTTAAATAATGTATGGATTTTAAAATAGTATACTATAGGAAAAAAATGCTAAATACCTGTGCCATTATTTCTAGGATCACGAGCAAACAATTTTATAGTAATTTTTGGCAACATCCACTGCATCCATAGGCTGACACGTCCACTTGAGACTCCGATATTACTTGTTGTTTGTTCCAGTGTAATGGAGTCTGAGAATGGAGAATCATCACCACCCTGAAGAGAATCACCCTATGAAACAAATGTAACAGCTGAAGAAAAAAAAGTGTTCCTTTTCACCACTCCTTTTTTCTTATGCCTAAACGCCACTTTTTAATATTTCTGTTATTTAAAAAAGGTGATTGTCACTTGTGATGTTCTTAAATATATGCCACATTGACAAATGAGCTTGTAGAAGCTTCTGTACCATCAATTATCTCTGTTCATTCCCTAAAACATTAAGGACTCAACAAAGACGACACAAAGATTAATGTTTTCAGGAAAGGATCATGACAAATGAAAGCTTAACTGAAAATCCTGCTACAGTGGCTTATTAAACCCCTGCAGGCATGCTCTGATAGTTCTTGATGGCACAACTGAAATATTACCAGCAATGGGACTTCATCCTGCTCTTTAGCTGGAACCTGCTGCCTCCAAATAGGAAAGGAAAGATGCAAACTTGTAATTGCTCATTGGCTCCTAGTGTTTACAGCCTATTAAACTGAATGCAATGGACACACATATCACTAATAACAATCAGAAGCCATTAAAAATCCACCAGTATCTTCACTTGCAACTCCAAGTTGCAAGTGTTGAATATTTTCTTCATTATTCAAGCACAAAAGGAAAGGACCATGGTATTGTCATTTGGATCCACTAAGGCCAAGTTGTTTCTAAGATTTACAGACCAATAATCACCCAAAATCTTAACTTCCATTGAAGGTGAGGAGGATTAGGAATTGTAAATTATGATGAACAACATGCTCAGGACTTTTGAGATTTATCTCATGACTGAGACAATGTCTGCAGAAGGCATCCTGGAATCAGAACTACACAGAAAGCATAGCAGTTTGACTGAATTTGTTTTAACCTATCAGGCAAGAAATGACAATGCACTTGCTTGAACTTCAGATATCCCAGAAAAGCTTACTTTCAGTAGCAAAGTTTAAAATCTGACAATACTTGAGTTATTCTGCCGTCCAAGACTAGAGAATGTGTGTATGGAAATTCTGTTAGCAAACTATTTTCTGGATATGTAGAACTTATCCCAAACCAAATGAACATTTCTTGGCTCATATGGAAGCATTTATGTTGATAAATCACATTTTCAATCAACTCAGACCTACAGTTTAATTATAGGATTTCTATCATGTGTACATGTCCTCTTACCACCAGCCTAACAGTAAGAGAAGACAACAAGGTAGCTTAAGATCCAAATACAATGTCTGACAATGCGCTTCTAGAGTTTATTGCATAATGAAGAATATGAGTATTTTTACTACTTTCTTTCTCAGAGAAACACTGAAACACAGCTTCTGCTTCACGCCTTCAGCTTTATATCACTCAATTAACATTTACTGATTTTTTTTTTCTTGTCCCAGCAAAACTCTTAGAGAAAACCGAGAAAACCAGCAAATGACCTTTACCCTTGAAAACCTCAGGGATACCTAGTACAATTGGTAAGAAACCATCCACACTGTCAGTAGCTGAAATAGAGTTATTCATTCATACAAGGAAAGGAGAGCTTGTACAACTAACATATGTACGTTACTCGAAAATAATACCTAAACATAAGATTAGAATATCTGGATCGGTTCAAAAGATGTAATATGAAATGTTGAAATGAAAATTAATATTCAATTCAGCTTCAATTATATATGGTAATGGTGGCTTTACATTAATCAAAATAAATGGAAGAAACCAGGTATACTTCCATTTATATGTTTATTCTTTAAGCCATTATTGCTTAGCACTCTGAACAAACTACCTGTAGAGCCATAGGCGACCATCTATCCCAGTTTCAGCTGGGAAAGAGTTAATTTTCTTCCTGGTATAATGCTGTATTTTGGCTTTAGTCTGACAATAATGTTGATAACACACCAACGTTTTAGTTGCTGCTAAGTAGCGCTTATCCTAAGTCAAGGAATTCTCAGTTTCCCATGCTCTGCCAGTGAGGGGGGCACAAGAAGCTGGGAGAGAACAGACAGGACACCTGACCCAAACTAGCCAAAGAGACATTCCATATCATAGAACATCATGCTTATTATATAAACTGATGGGAGTTTGCTGGAGGGTGGCGACCACTGCTCAGGGACTGGCTGGGCATTAGTCAGCAATTGTGTTATCTCCCTCTTCACTATTAATACTGCTACTATTATTATATTGTACTTTATTTCAATTATTACACTGTTCTTGTCTCAACCCACAGGTTTTACCCTTTTTCTGATTCTCTTCCCCGCAGCACGCATGTGCATGCATGCGGCTGCATGCTACTTAGTTGCCCACTGGGGTTAAACCACACCATCTTTGAAAATTGTTAAGATCTTGAGATGTAAAAAGTTAGCTGCTGCTAGTATCAGGTTTCTTGGTTTCAGTCTCCTCATCTCACTCTTGAAAGTGAATGAAAGGAAAGAAATCAGGCTATAGCTCCATAAGACAAAACTTCAGGCTCAGTACTGATGGAGATGCTATATAGCACTGTAATGCTCATTCCGTGGTGATACTACAGAAGTCAAAAAATAAATATCCTATTCTCATCAATGAAGTTTTAAGAAAATCAGTGGTATTTCCATAATATTATATATATTTTATTATAAGCTGGTACATTTTTTAAAAATCATCATAGCTAGATTTAGAAGCAAACTGCAACACTTGCTATATGGACTGAGAAATCAGATTTTGCTTTATGAAATGTCATTCAAATGAAGATGAGCTTTTGCTCTTCAGATATCATTTGTGAAGAGGAAAACAAAGAAATATGAGTCCAATTCTAACTTTACCATGATTCAGGACTATTAATCCATCTAACAGTGTCTTTTCGTTATGAATGTAACTAGCTAGGACCTAATTCAGGTATGTGCAAAATATACCCTGAGAGTTTCTAGAATTAAAGCTTCTGTTTCTAAATTTTAAGTAGTTCAACTTTTTAAATCTCTAGGATTAGAGATTAGTGCTATTATTACTAATAATCAGTGGCTAGGGAACAGCAAATTAAAAAATGCCTGTTTTTTCAAACTTCAGACTGATCTGAAGTGACTGGACAAGGACAAAAGGGTAAGAGCAAGATTAACCAGAAAGAAATCACAGCTGCCTGTGCATGAAGGAGCCACCCAAAGACAATTTCACTGAATCACAGAATTGTTCTGTTTGGAAGGGTCCTGTGCAGATCACCTCATCCAATCCCCTGCCAAACCAGGGCCACCTAGAGCAGGTTAGGCAGGTTTTGAATTTCTCCACAGAAGGAGACTCCATGACCCTCCTGAGCAGCCTGTTCCAGTGCTCTGCCACCCTCAATGTAAACAAGTTCTTCCCCATGCTGAGGTTAAACTTCTTCTGTTTTAGTTTATGGCCACTGCTCCTCATACTGTTGCCGGGCACTGAAACCCCCTTTCAGTCTTCTCTAGACTAAATAGGCCCACCTCCTGCAATCTCTCTGAGCCCTCTTAGCTCAGATCCTTAGATGGATTTCACAGGATATCAAGAATTGGAAGCCAATTATTTAAACCTAATAAATTATTTTTTATTATTTTATATTATTTTATATAAAGGACCCTGCGGTGTCCTCCTCCTTTTTTTTTTTTTTTTTTACAGCTGGAGTATATTTCACGTTCTTTCTGTACTTCAGACAACACTTCAGACACTTAATTTGCCAAACTGTATCTCACAAACTGTGACAGAGGGGGTGGGAAGCACAGTCAGTTTCCTCCTTGCCTTGCACACACACCCTCACTCTCCCACTGGACATGCTCCAAAATGTTTTTTGTATGAAAACTGACTTTGTTCTAAAGTTTGGCAGGTCTCTACATTTCTGATAGTTAAAAAAAGAAAAATAAAACAATAGTAAATGAAAGGGTATGGTTAAGAGCAAATACGCACTGCCACCATGGCAAGTTCTGAATTTTATAATTGGTTTCTTTTATTTTCGCAATTTAATGTCTTCAGATGTTTTATACATTTTGTTGACTTTTTTTTTCATAGAGAGCTGGTTTTGTTTAGTGGTTTGAGCACAGAGATAACTTTGTTCTGTAGAAAACTGACACTAATTTTCCCACACTTTTCTTTAAGATTAGCCTTCTGAAGATATCAAATGCTGTACTATGGCGCTCAGAGAATCTTCCAGTTGACAATTTTTGCACAAGGTTACCTTGTGTGAGATTCTTGAAGAACTGCATGTATCTAGCATAACCCCAGGCATATATAAAAAGCAAACTAACCCAGGAATGTGCAATCAAATTTAAAAGGAGCAAATCTCAAATTTTAGGGAGTGTGGTTCCCTACCAACTTCCAAGCTTATTAAATCTACAAAGTTTACCAAAAAACAGAGCTACCAGTACAGGCACAGATGTATCATTAGAAACTGCTTCCTCCTTTTCTAAATACATAATGAAATAGACAGTATATCTGATATGCTATAACCAAAAAATTCACAGATGAGGAAAAGTGGCCAACATGCTTGCAGTTTCTGTTACTATTGCTGAAGCTAAGCATTCACTGGCTTCATTCCAATGATGCTTGCGATGCTGATGCTTGTCTGATTTGCAGATGTTTCTCACACTTCAATTTCTGTAGCAAGTGAGGCGGCTTTATTAAATCATATTCAAAATGTGTAGCACACAACTACATAGCTGTACAACAAAACTCCATTTAGTCAATGCACAAGTAAGGCCTCCACATGCACGTATTTCTGGAAGTGAACTTGAAAAGCAGTCCTTGAATTTCAAAGTCAAAGGAGGATATTGATGTAGAACATTACCAGAAATAAAGGAATTTGTGAACCTTTGGACACAAACAGAGGCAGAGTAACCTGGGGGTCAGACACCTGGACCTGCAATTGCCAGGGTTTTGGAAGCTGTTCTACCACAGAGCCTGCAAGTCCTTGCCAGGGTCTCAACTTGTGTGCACTACTGCTAGCTAGCTTGAGAGCATAGCTCTAATTGCAGTAAGCCGAGGCTTTCAGCGATAACCTCTTCTTCACAGTGTGCCAGCTGCAGAGCTTATCAACAGACATCCCCAGCTGCTCAACACCATGTCCCCGGTAGCGGTTCCTGGGTTACTGGCTCCACCCACCCCCTACTTCAACAATTCAATGTGAACATACTCTGATATTTTTCTGTCATTCAAACATATGTAAACAGTTGAATTGGACCATTCTTTTCTCAGTGGCAGAAGCACTGCAGATGCTCCTCCAGAGGCAGATACTGCTATACGGCTGTCCTTTGGGAGCTGAAAAATGAAGCAACTGCATTTCTTCTTAGCCTTCTGCTCATGGTACTGTAACCAGAACCACTGGGCAGAGTCGCAGGGGCTAAAAAACGGATGGTCTGCAGTAGCTGATGCCTTTTCTCCCCCTTTTTTTAGTGAGGTCAAATTGTTAGAAATTTTTTGCAGTCCAAAACTAAGAAACTGAAGTGAGACGAGACTGTGCTCTGGTTTCTCATGCAGTTTCAATTTTCATTTTGGATTTTCAGCACCCAGCATGGTATTGTTAAATATGTTTATGCATTAATTTTCTGCTCTGTTTCCAGATCTGCAGAAAAATCAAGCCAGAGTCAGAAACCCTGAACTATTTTCCCACAACTTCTCATGCCAAGTCCTAAAATATACAATTTAATTCTTTCACCAATTGTTGCAAATTGACCAATATACAGAGTTTATTTTCTTAGCAGAATTTATCTTTGTTCATCAGGAAGATCCAAACATATGAGGCCTTCATCCTTGGCCTGCCTACAGCTCAGGGATGATCAGAGTTTGGCCACACTAATGCTATGCCTTATCAAAATAACTTCTGCGTTCTTGCTCAATCACTGAGTTTCCCCAAGGACTAAACACTTCTACCACTGTTTGTACTTAAGTAAACAGTAACAAGTGGCCTGTTGTAGTCTGTACTACCTTTGCTTTTGCTGTTCCAAGGAAGGAGGGTAAAAATGATTAACTGTTTGCAGCCCTCCAGCACTTCAACCTCTCACTCATGTTTCCCGGTCTTACCACCACCACCCAGACTAAAATTCAGTAAGCTAGGTAGCTTTACCCACACAGGCCTGTGGTGCTCACTTTCAACTTGACAGCATGAAAAGAATTACACAGAGATTAAAATATAAATCATCTATAGATCATGTAAACAAATTACTTTTTTAACTGTTTAATATAAACATCTGTGAGAGTTTGCTTTCCTCCAATTCATTTATAGGAAGTCCACTGCAGCTGAAAGAAGCTCTAAAAATAATCATTTGTCTCCCACCACACAAAATAACATATTAACTGTAAAAATCTCTAAACTTAGGAAAAAATACGCCTATCACAGCAAAGTATTGTTGTTTGACAGACTTCAAGATTTCAAGATTTAAAAATACAGGAACATAGAAACAAAATGCAGATGCTGATAAACTTCTGAAAAATCTCCACAAGTCAAAACTGCAGAAATAAATAATATTAATCACTCTATATACTTCATTGCTGCCGAGCAGCAATGACTATAAAATATATAGCTGCAAGGCTGATTGTGGCTGATGTACTCGATTTTTATACATTACCTCTTCTATTTCTTTTATTTAAAAAATTATTGTTACAACAGTCTGAAAACAAGTTTTAGTTTAAAAATACAGGGTGGTATTTTCCAAATCAAACAACATGGATCTGGATTTGCTCCCACTGACTTATTTGCGGGAAACACTAGGTCAATATTAGGTACCTTTAGATTTCTAAAAACCAAAATATATATAAGTAACCAGTACTACCATTTTAGAGAGTGTAAAGTTATAAAGTACACAGTATTTCAAGAGATTTAAAGTATTTTTCTCTTTCACTGAGGATTTGCAAGTTGTTTTCAGACTTGTCAGTATCAAGACAGCAATCAACCAAGGTTTTGTTGGTGTTAGGTCTCTTGGCCAGTAAGTGCCTGCTCTATAACCGCCTCATCTGCTTTTATTGCTCCCTTGACGGAATTCAGAGTCTGTGAGAAGGGAAAGGAGTGGTCTAGTTCCAACTAGCAGCAAAACCACAGAAAGTGATAAATGAGACCCAGGAAAATGGTAGAATGCTGCTCCATTCTTCACAGTTGGCTTCGCCTTCTTTCCCCTCTAGTGCTCACTGAAAGCATGCCTTTTTACAGTCATCCTCTGCTTCCATGCACCACCACGTATTAACCTTGGTCATCCAACTAGGTGACTCACCTCACTCAAACTGGTGCCTTGACATAAAATTAGTTCTAAGACTGAAGGGATAATTTTTTTTTTAAATTTCTTTTGTTTCAAACCTGTCTTTAATAATAAGAAAGCACTAGGTCAAGACAACATTGGATGTCCCATAACAATCAAATCATTTAGATGAATCCTCCACTGGATAAACCTTCTTTTTCACCATACAGTACCAGTAAGCTTTTTCAAGACCAACATCAAAGGTGGTCTTCAAGTGTAAACATTGACTCACAAATTCATAAATAGGATAGTACCCATAAATTCAAATGCAGCATTTTTTAGCTAGTAATCTTACAGGAATCTAAACTCTGGCTTGACTCCCCATGACAATGAATCTCTCCAGATTCAGTGAATGAATCTCTGGAGAGATTCAGTGATTTCAGTCACGGTAATTCAAAACCTTTGTATTTCTCTTTTATTTTTTATACTGTTAATTAAAGCCCTTGTGCACCCTACATATTGTTTTTATTTTAATCACCTCAATACAACTAATATTACCATCCAGTTAACCAGAAATGGAATAAAAATTTTTCTCAGCTGCCAAGCCAAAAATACTAGCTTCCTACTTCAACAACCCTGTGAATCTTTTCCTGACAATATAAAAATTACCCTTTTAATCCTTATTTTCAGTTCCTGACAGAACTTCTTACAATCTCAAATATCTGTCCATGCATACATTCTCCTACCTCACTGTCTCCATTAAGCAATTTACACCTGCCTCATTATGCTTTTCTGTCTGTGCACTCATATATCCCTTGTGCTGGCTCTTCCTTCTCGACTGCCTTCCTAACCACAGACAGAACACTTTAGGCTGAGAGCTCTGAATGGTGATGATGGATAGGAGTTCTATTCCTCAGTCTTTCAGTCATATGAACTATGGCTTCATGCAAACATTTTCTCCTGCTTGTACCTTTCTTCCTCCTCCCATGTCTTTAATAATATCCTCAGACCATGGTCAATTTTTAAATTTATTTATCCTGTCTAAGCACAATGATACATTTCCTTCAAACAATTTTCAAATCTCAGTTGTGAAGTGCTATGTCAACTCTAAGCCTCCTATTGTAAAAAGAGATCCCATATTAATTCCATGTGTCTTAATATAACTTTCTATTTGAAGAAAATTGAAATTATGGTGTTAGTTTTACAGTGGAGAAGACCGAACGCAAATTCTAACATTGCCCTTTGATGGCTGATCCACCAAACTTCCTTTAGAGCAGGAGAAAAGTTAGATAGCCAGTGCAGAACATTTGTTGAGAATGGGAAGAAAACTAAATAAATGGTTTTTGCAAAGGGGTAGGATATGAATGCTAAACTTGGAGCTATATTACCAAAATAGTCTTGGTAACATATGGATTAAAACAATTACTGAATCACTTTCAAATAATGCTCCAAGTACAGCATGTACTCCAAATAGTGCTGTCTATATAGAGGGTCAAAACCAAACTGTTATTTACAAAACTGGTGGTTTCTGAATTAATGAAAAAGGGATTTGATGTGAGTAGGTGGAAAACCACTATTTTTGTGACCATATTGTTTTCTAACTATTATTGCTTACCTTCAATTCTGTATCCATGGTAAAATTTTTCAGAATTGAGATCACATACACATAGAACACATCAAGCCCAATGTTATCTACATAACCTAGAAACATTTTAATGAAACAACTTAAGAACTGAAACTCTAGCTCAAATACCTTTTAATGACAGTTACCCCTCTGTGTGCGTGATGCATATAAAACATAAGCATTAGCAATCAGCATTTAATTTTCTCCAAACCCAGGAATTAATATAAACCATAAACAGGGTGAAAGCAATCCTGGCCAAATGTTGTTGAATATGAAATTGCAATCAGTGTTCAAACTGCTGTGTATTTGCCTATCTTCCAGAAGTGTTCCATGAGGTGCTCCCAAAATTGCTATGTTTATCCTAAAAATGAAGCCCAGTCTCTCAGAGCAGTCTCCCTGCATTTTAATAGCTTCATGTTAAGAATGAAGCATTGCGAATGTACTACACAACACTGATACAAACTCAATTCATCTTACACATTTTTGTCTCTCTCTTGGAGCACAAACAAGGCCAACTCATTGTTCTAACGAGTAAGCCTGACGGGTACTAAGAAAATCACAAATACTAGGCCTGTTCAGTTGCACAGTCTCCTATGATGCACATATTCCACTATGTATCATCTACCTGGTGACTCACAGCTCACAATACTCAGGGATAAAGTTTAACACTGTACTGATGTTGAAAAAAGAATCAGCCTTCTTTCCTTGGCATGTCAGAGAAGCAGAACACCTTCCCATGCCTCAAAAAAGTGTTTTACAGTCTTAGGCACACACAGAGATTAAGATCAGGTACCAGATTTCTCCAGGCACTTATGCAGTGCTGTAAATTAGAGAAGCAGAAATACGTAAAACCAAGGGGCCAATCTTGCTCGCATTTGAAGATGCATATCCAAATTCTTCCATTTTTTAATGAAAGCCTACCTCTGTAGTGGTCCCAATATCAGCTGATGGGCTGTACGTGCTGGTATCTGGTGGAGCGGTTCCAACACTACTTTTAACTGGAGAGCTAGGAGGAGCAGGTCCTGTCATGGTTTCAGTATACACAGATGATTGATAGAGAATTCCTTTCCTCTGAATTTTATTCCAAACTTTAGTTGTGATCTCAGCCAGTTCATACAGAAGTTGCACCTAAAAGAAAAGAAAAAAAACCACCAACCTTTTCTAAGATGAAGCTTTCCTTAAAGGGGTGAAGAAAAATAAAAGTCCTCCACTGAGACCGAGAATGCAGCAAAAATGAACTTCTCACCATTTATGGTGTTCTGATAAGCAGCTACATTGCAACTAAAATAATTAACATCAGTTACAGTATAATGACTGTGATAAAAATAATCTGTTTTTTTCTCTAAACATATGGTATGTAGCTCAAAACCATAACCAGTCTTGTAAAAATTTACTAATATCTATTTTGACAAGTCAACAAAGGTAATTTATAGTACATTTCATATGTATAGGTACTGCCTCAGGAAAAAGGAAAATATTAAAACATTATGATATATTAACAATGCAAGAATTATGCATTTAAATAGTATTAAAATAATGATCGCACACAGCATATGAAACTGTTCCATTTTTGGAAGAATATCCACTATCAAACTCAATTGTCTCCTGGCATATGTCATTCCTATATTCAGAAACACACTGTTTAACTTGTACATTGTTTGACTCAGATCTAAGATATTTACACAAGTTTTTGTAAATAAGCATTAATCACAGATTTTGTATGACAACACACTGCAATATACTGTATAAAACAAGCTCAGAGAAAACTGCAAACAATATATAAGCAGATCCACAGCTGGATACCATACCCAACTTGCCATTATAAAAAATGGAAATTCTCATATTTATAAGAACTTTAAGCCTCAGGACATATCTACTCTATGAAGCTGGCTTCTTATGTGGGCAGAACAGATGCAGAAAAACACTGTTGTCAATCTACATTTGATACAAAACAGTACTTGATTTTGTGCGTGAGAATGTGTGATGAAGTCTCCAAGTACACGCTACAGTTCTTTCTTCAGAGGTACAGTGCTGGAATTTTATAAAAACCTTCTTAATTCATCTTGGATTTTCTTTTGAAGTTTCAAGGCTTACAATGAGCAGGTCATACACTCTTTTGCCAGAATTTTTCCTTAAAGGACATAAACTTTTTTGTGCACTTTTTGTCTTCGTACACAGAGCAATGTACAGAGAAACAATAACTGGCTGTGGCCCAAAGTTCTTTTTAGTTAACCTTTAAAATATTTTGTGTCTGCAGCACTCTGATATGCACTGGTAACCTTTAAATTACTAATTGCAAATTTCTAAGTTTTCCCTAGTCTTTTCCATGTAACACTGGAAGATCAACTAATAATGTCCATCCGATTGACTAATATAACATTAACTGGTGTTGACACTTTGCTGGCAAAAGAGTCTCTAGAAAATTAATAGGACACAGGCACATATCCAAATCATACATGTTTGCAACCCCTGTCTCCTACTCCCCCTCCCCCAAATATTTTTGGTCAAGAAACCAAAGGACAATTTCAGCTATACTTGTCTTCACGAAGCAGGGCTTCCAGAAATTTAATTATGCTACTGTTCTCAAAGGCACAAAACAACACAAAAGAAGGAGCTTGTATGTCTATATACATACACATATGCAAGGTAAAGAGGTTTGTCATCGGGTAATCCGACACTTAAGAGTTTAAATTCTTAGTGAGGTTGCAACAGTCATAATAATTAAATAATTACTTATGCTATCTTTTAAAATTGCTCAGGTTAGAATCTTTGCAGCCACTCCGAAGCAGTGCCTATTTTAGACAGCAGCGTCAGCTCTCCAAATATTCAGCAACCACACACCAAGTACTATGACACTAATACTTCACCCTGCTCTGAAACCAGTGGCAAAACAAGTTCACCCATTAAAAATGGCACACTTTGATAATTTTCATGGAGATACGTTAAAAAGTAAAAAAACCTAAAACTCCTCACACCAAAACCTCTTGAAAACAAAAAAAGAAGGTGCAAGCCTGCATGCTAATAAAGTTTTAAAACTTCAGATAATTACCTAAAGTTATATCTTGGATTATATTTAATCCACTTAAATTTACTCCATTGGTTGTTACATGTTAAATGTAAAAATGGAAGGATTTCTACTTCTCCTGTTGGCTGAAGTTTTTCAAGTGATTAGTCTCAGTATTTTGAAAATCCATTTCTGATTTTATTAGAAAAGCTAACGTTAAGTGTAAGGCCTCTTGCCTTTATAAGTATTTCTGAGCATAACAGTTAATATATAGTAATTATTTTTAGTACTCTCTATTCAAAAGAAGAAAAATGGTATGACAAAAATAGGAATAACTCTGCCAGGATTTGTTAAGAAAAGTTTCCCTCTCAGGCTGCTTCTACTCCCTGCCTAGCAAAACCACACATAACTCTATAAGACCCCACTGACTACTTGGCAAAAATCTGTGAAGTTCAGTATGTTACAGCATTTTACACTTAAAAAATAACACATTACTACAAAATTGAAAATTATACCAAAAGACAATATCCTGGCAATTTTGCACACTGGAAATATCTCTTGACTTTAACAATCCTCAGAACATGGTTTCCTATTAAATCATAATAGTCATATAGTAAAATACTTCACCTTGGTTGCCATTTAACAAATTCACTAAGTATCACCTACTTTAAGGCTGTCATCTATGGACAAAACACAGTCCATCATTCTAAAGAATCAAATTTCATACTCTATTACAAATTTGTAACTATCAAATGCTGTTTATGCAATTGTATTTTCCATATGCTGTTCTTGAACATCTAGTTAAAGACAGCTGATTAGTTAGGTTAGGTTAGGTTAGGTTAGGTTAGGTTAGGTTAGGTTAGGTTAGGTTAGGTCAGTTAGGACAGTTAGGTTTTTTCCCCTTTTGCATGTGTAAAGAAGAAAGAACAAGCAAGGCAGATATAAGGGAGAAAGGGCAATTCAAGAACCTTTGCTAAATGCCAATAATTTGTCCTCACCCTTTTGGTCACCATAATACTGCAGTAAATGAGTAATACTACAGTGTGCAGAGGAAAGAATATCCTTCAAGACAACAATATATGGTCTGATATTCTACCATACAACTTCACTGTAACGTATCACTATACCCGTAATATGATCTACACAGAACTTACAATTTAAACTTTAAGTACAAATATTTTTGCATAGTTTGCAAAATGAATTATATGATCACACTTCGAAGCTTGAAAATGTATTTTACTTGCTCCATTTTTCCTTTTAATTTGCACCTTAAATTTAGATAAGACTTCCATTTATAAGTTAATACTATTGATGTATTATGTATATTAGCCATGAGTAATCCTTTTGGAGATTTAAAAAAAAATCAAGAGTTGATCAGACAGTTTGCTGGAATTTCACTGAGAGTACATTGATCAAATGTAGCAAGCTGTTTTTCTACAAAATGTTTGCCAATTCTCTAAATAGCTGTGGTATCAAGATTAATCTTGACAGCTCTATGAAAATTAATACAGAACAAGGCAGGTTTACGAAGGCTGTGAAATTATTCATTGCATGTAATGAAAATACCACAAAGTTACAAAATAAATGTACTTTAAATATAAATATATATCTTTAAATGCAAATTGTCAGAAAAAAACATAATTTTGCCCTTTCCTATTTATACATTTCTAACACAGTAACAACCCTTTATGTGTGCAAACATATCTCTCATACAGCTTCACATTCTGAGTAGATCTTGTTGAGGCTGCTCAATTTTAATTTGGTATGTCCAGTGAGGAGTCTCACTCTACCATTCTTCCTACTGAGTGGAGCCTACCTGGTGCAGAAGACAATGGCATAAAGCAAATGAGTCAGAAATAACTTGTATGGAAAGTAGTGAACAGGGAGGGAGATCCCATATTAAGGGTAAAATAAATACATAGTTTAAATCACTTGTTTCATTCACAGAACATGGAATGAGGCAAGGGAAAAACTGCATGCGACTGAGAAACATATTGTAATAAGTACACACAAGGCATAACATTAAAATTCCACCAGCCACCTTAGCTTTAGTATTCCCAGACTTAGGCCATAGGTTCATAAATCTTTACAAATGTGATGTGCTGTCAATCAGATCAAAACTATAATAGTTTGTGTTCTTTCCCTTTCCTTCTATTAAGTGAAGCAATGAACAGCCCATTTTGTCCATAAGGTCCTTTGAAAGATCTTCACTATGACTAGAACTTCAGAGCAAACAGCATACGAATGCAGACCCCTACTCAGACCTCAAAAGATTTGCAGTTCCCAAGAAGAGTGTTCTCTTCAGCACTGCTGGAAACATTGCAACTGTCAGGAATGCGTTTTGAGTTGTAGTAAAGATTACTCAAAATTTTGCATAGAAATCCTACTCTATTTGGAGCTACAGCAAACTTGATCCAAGTCAGTAAAATACAGGGTGCACCTTCTGAAAATCTAGCAACATCTCTGCCTTTTAATAAACATAACTGAGGTCATAACTTTTGTTTACATACATTCATCTTTTTTTATACCATTGTCTGCCTAAAAAACATTTTATGCTCAAAGAAATGTTAGTTCTCTGAAAATGTGGTAAAAAATAACATTAAACCACTTCAATGTATGAATCCACAGTGACAGCAGAACAGCATTTAATGGTACATCTGCAATTCATTTCACTCCATCAGCCAGAAGATGCATTTATACTATAGCTATTACATTTTGAGAAGAGTTTAAATTACAAAACTTGAGAGAGCTTCAAAGCAAATCTTAATCTAAGCACCTTGATCTTGATGGATTTAAAAAAAAAACTAAGATAGAAGAGAACTTCTTCCACAAAATGCATAACAATTGTACTTAAATCAAGTTATTTTTAATTTCCTTTCATAAATCAATTAGATGTACGAACCTGGGGGTTGGAGCATTTTATTTCAAGGGACTCAAGGTCGACATGGAGGCAGACAACAAATGAGTGTCTGGATTCTGGCCCCGAAGCAAGCAGTTTCTGTGAAGTGACAGCTAAAGTAGAAGTACAGCCCATTGGTTCCACTAAATTAAGTGTCATCTGTTGCCCAAGAAGAGTATATATACTGAAATGATGCAGACTAATAGTCCATGGAAAAGCATCACCTAATGATTAAAAAGAAGGAGAAACAGTTAAATAATTGCATAATAAAAAACTATGCTATCATTTTCTAGAAACTCATTAAAAGGATTACCCTAAAACCCCTTAGAAGTCAGAAAAATCAACAATCATTAAATTGATCTCAATCTCTCCCAAATGTAATTCAACCATCAATTCCATTTTATACCTCAAAGTCTAAGCAATAGCAACAAATTTCTTACAACTTTCTAAAAATTGAAATCCATTGGTAATTTTAACCCCAAGACATGTACATATACAAAACATGTACAACGTAGTCTTTAAAGAAGTCTTTTGGCATTATACCATTTTCCTCAAACTGAAGAATATCCAGAAACCACTCCCCACTTATTTCAGCATACAGACGGCAGAGGCAGTTCCTTCCATTACATACGCGTGTTTTTATAGGTTTTATCACTAAAAAATTTCTTCCACAAATTCACAGCTCGCATCCAAAGAGAGTGGTGCCAGAGTAAAGCCTATCCCAATGCCCCGCTCAGGTAAACAAGACCTTGATCACAGTACAGCTCTTTCTACTGCTTCCGCTTAACTTCCTAGGAACAGAATGGTGATGGATTTTGTAAAAACAAATTACTGCAGACATACATGAGCATTTTGTTTCTTATATGTAGGAGGGACCCTACCCAGAGAAGTGCCTGGCAGTTTACCATGAATCATTATCAAGAATAATATGTGAAAGAATTGGCAGTGTCCAGCTGAATTACAAAAAGCCTGAAACTTTGGTACAATCGGTTTTCTTTAGATTGTCAGTAAATGGGAGTTTCAAAAGCAGGATCACAGAGAGAAGTATCTGGGTAAATCTTGAAAAGACCACCAGGAATTCTTTTTAGTGAGGGAATATCTTCCACAGACTATGGAAACATGATGGCAGGTACCCACCAAAGCTGTTTGATCACTCCCCTCCTCAACTGGATAGAGAAGAGAAAAATATGATGAAAAGCTTCACAGGCTGCAGGTGGGTATCTTCTCCGCTTGCAGTCCTCCCCACTACCAAAACCTTGCCACATAAAATCAATACAATCCCACATATGATAAATGGGTCACAGAGAGGCTCTACAAGAGACACTGAACTAAAACTCAAAACATGCTCAGCAGAAGTGAGGAATATGAAATAGTGACAGATACGTGAGTAATTCTCCTTTCACCTGAAACTTTTTTTTGCATAACAATTATTTCAGGTTTTGGGCTTGTTTGTTTTTTGGTGGTATTTTTTTCCTCTAAGGAAAATTCCATAATTCCATTTATCAGATTTTCTGCTGAGGAATTTGGTCTTTTTTGGTCTCCACTTAAAATGACAGAGAGCCTCTGCCCAGCATGTGAATTTTCTAACCACCAAGAGAAATTTCCTGCCCCAATTCAAAGTAACATCAGAACGGTGGAATGTAGTCTCAGATCCAAGAGTAGGCTGGTGAGCATCCACAAATCTCAGCCTGGGCTGAAACAGTTCATCTTTGTACAAAGTGCAGTCACTTGGAGAAAGAGAAGGAGAGAAGTTCTCCTTCCTAAATCAAAATTCAGAAGATTATTTAGCATGAGGTTTTATTGTTCAAGATTTGGGCCTGGAGCCATGGGTAAGAAGAGTCGAAATTAATCTAATACCCAAAGCATGGGAGCCAGTCTTGAGAATCAGAACAGAAGATGACAGACAAATAAAATGGGATGGGCGTCTGGAGTCTCACAGGGCAACAAAGAATACTAACCAGTATATCTAAAAGGTGTATGGAGAGTTGTTAGCTGCCTGGTGCGGCCTACAGTCAACACTGTCCTGCTGAGAAATGACAATACTAAGAAATGGCACAAATTGTTAACAGTGATTATTTAAAAGAAACTTTAGAAAGGTTTTGAGATTAAAATAAAACTGGATCCAAACTCTTTTTACTGTATTATTTTAGTAAGAGTTTTATTGTTTCTTCCACAGGTGGCACTGCAATAAATGTACATGATCAAGAGCATATACCAGAAGAGTCCGTGTGTCTCATTCTAAGAAACTAAAAACTTCAGTAGTTTATTTTGAAGCTATTACATACTGAAAATTCAGCTCAACCAAATTAACTTGAAAATATTTTGGAAAGGGTTCAGATTAGAAATTTTAAAGTAGCTAGTGAGCTGTATTTTTTTCAAGTTCAGTCAGCCAAGAAGTACAAAATACTAATTGTAATAGATGGAAAAAATTCAAATGTGAAGTCAACTCTAATGACATGTTTCTAATTACCACGCATGAACTTTGTTGGTTTTCTTTTTTTCTGTGACCGCCACAGTAAATTTACATTGTTTCTATTTCATGGATTAGAAAGAAAGAATCTCCAAGGAAAATAGCAAATGTTAACTCTACTGTGCTACATTCATTATCTACCTTAAAAGGAAAACACCAATCAAATTTTATCAATGCGCGTAAACCACAGTACACTGAGCAATGGCTGTAGTAAAGATACGGCAAATTTAGAACTACAAAATTCCCCCTAATGTCATCAATTACCTCTTCTTCACTTCCATATAAACTGTGTGACCATTCTAAAATTATACTGGAACTAATCATCCGATAAACCCTTATTTTGTGGTTGAAACTGCGTTTCCTTTTATTCATTAAAAAAAAAAAACAACCAACCACCAAAAAAACAAAACCAACCAGCAGTGTGCGCTTGCAGCCCAGAAAGCCAACCGTATCCTGGGCTGCATCAAAAGGAGTGTGACCAGCAGGTCGAAGGAGGTGATCCTGCCCCTAAACTCTGCTCTTGTGAGACCTCGCTTGGAGTATTGTGTGCAGTTCTGGTGTCCTCAACATAAAAAGGCCATGGAACTGTTGGAACAAGTCCAGAGAAGGGCCACGAGGATGATCAGGGGACTGGAGCACCTCCCGTATGAAGACAGGCTGAGGAAGTTGGGGCTGTTCAGCCTGGAGAAGAGAAGGCTGCATGGAGACCTCATAGCAGCCTTCCAGTATCTGAAGGGGGCCTATAGGGATGCTGGGGAGGGACTCTTCATTAGGGACTGTAGTGATAGGACAAGGGGTAACAGGTTAAAACTTAAAACAAGGGAAGTTTAGATTGGATATAAGGAAGAAGTTCTTTACTGTAAGGGTGGTGAGGCACTGGAATGGGTTGCCCAGGGAAATTGTGAATGCTCCATCCCTGGCGGTGTTGAAGGCCGGCTTGGACAGAGCCTTGGGTGATACGGTTTAGTGGGAGGTGTCCATGCCCATGGCAGGGGGCTTGGAACTAGATGATCTTAAGGTCCTTTCCAACCCTAACTATTCCATGATTCTGTAATTCCTGATCTACCACTCTCATAGATCAGTATTTTTAAATTTTTCAAGCATCATTACTGATTAAAAAAAAAAGTGTTCATTAAGATATTTCAAGTGCTTTGATAACTTCTTAAATATATAAATACCACTTTCAGATCTTTGGCAGCTGACTGACCCTGTCATCAGACAACTTGCAAAGAACTGGCATTCATCATTTATCTGCTATTTCCAACAGTTCAAGAAGACTCCCTTCCTACAGAGTGTTTGAGTTATTTTTTGCAAGATATAAATAAGTATTTGACCTTTAATATCCCTCCCAACCCTAACCATTCTATGATTATATGATATATAATAACAAATTTTTGCTATGTGAAAGCACTTTCTCTGGTAGTTATTTGATGCACTTTGTTTCTTAGCTAGAGTAATGCCCATTATAAGCCTTTTCAAATGCATGACATATAATACTGATAAATGTACTTTACTAATAACAGTTACATATTTGCTCTCACTTTTATATGACACTTCTCTGCTTTAAAAACCAGGCTGCAGAAGTGGCAGATGTACACCATGTTGTGTATACAATGTTGACACTTGTGCAAAAAGAGAAATTGCATTTGTTTCAAATCAGTAATGGTAGGAGAGAGATCACAAAAGCTTTATCATGCATACAACCTGGGATCTATTCCCAGACTTCCTAAAGGTATCCTCTGCAATCTTCAAAAAGCATCTTGACAACTCTGTCTTCATTTGCCTTTCCGCACCCACACTGTGGCATTTTACATGGATTTCCAACATGCCCACGTTACCATGCAACATACAATGTTCTTTTTAAAAAAAATATTGCAGTCATTACATGTTAGGTCACTTTAGAACTTCCAGTCATGCAACAGGGAAGCAGTTGTACAGCTGCAAAATCCTAGGTGCACCCAGTCAAAACCCCTAAGGGCTTAAGTCCAGAGCTCACATTCAGCAGATGAGATTTAGTTCAAGACTTCAAATGTAAGCACAAACCCACAGGCTTTTCTAACTTAAATCCAGCTAGAGACCTCCAACAGCTGAACTCAACATTAACAACTTGTTCATGCAGAACTTCATTGCTATTCAGATACTGATGAATGTCATTAAAATGTGACAACTGATTTTATAAGGTCATTAACCATAATAAGTTAGTTAAATGCCATAATTACCAAGTTTTACAGATAATGACATTGAATATAAACTGAAATAAACTGAAAGAATTTAGGTTTAGATTAAACATTTGGAAGAAGTTTTACTATGAGGGTGGTGAGACACAGGTACAGGTTTGCCCCATCCCTAGCAATGCTCAAGGCCAGATTGGATGGGGCTTTGAACAACCTGGTCTAGTGGAAGCTGTCCGTGGCAGGGAAGTTGGAACTAGATGACCTTTAAGGTCCCTTCCAACTCAAACCAATTTATGATTATATGAAATAGCACACTATTTGAATGTCAAATATTCATCTTACAGTTTACAGAAATTATGTTTCAGCTGTTAGTTAAAGTTGCACTTTTTTTTAAAATACAATGCAAGACAATAACTTCTAAGAATGCCAGTATGCTGCTGTTCTACTTTAAACATTCAGCCGCCATTTTTTGCAGGTTGAAATCTATATGCTTTTATTATATTGGAGTAGCTTATGTCCAATACATTTCATCATGATTTCTTCACACACTAGTATTAGAAGCCCTAATTTTCTATTTCCCTACAAGGCAGAACTTACTGAGTTTAAACATACGCTACAAAAATCTGTGAGGTTATGTAACTTGTCATATTTCACAAACAAAAGCCACCTCTCAGATTTATATGTTTGGAGTTCAGTGATTTACATGATTGTCAGTTTCCTGTTACCCATATGAGAATGTGAATACGACAGGTATCAATCAATATCAACAACAATTTTAAGGTATTCTGAACACCGGTTTCTAAATGTGTGTTACTGTGTCTTACCTAATTATCTGTATCTTACTGTATCTGATGCAACCACAGATCTTCACAAAGGCTGAATTCATAAAAGTTACCAGTATCATGTCTTTGATTTATTTTCCTATTACAACATATTCACCTTTTGGAAGACAACTCAGAAGTCCAGAAGTCCTGATCATAACAGCATATTTTGTCAAACTGTAAAGTTACTAACTATCACTACAGGTTGGAACTTCGAGAATATAGAGATGATTGTCAAGTGTTTGAAGTGGGACATAGTGTGCACAGAAAGTGACAACTCACCTTAAATGGTTCTCTAAACATTTCAGTTCTGCTTGGACTGAATTTCTAAGTATTCAATCTCTTCTTAGTAACTAGTTTACTCAAAGGGCAGCTACAAACAGGACAGAGGTCCCCCTTTCCACAAGAAGAAGAAAATGAGGTAGAAAAGGGGCAACAGGTACAAGCTGCACCAGAGAAGGATTCATGCTGATATAAGAATTAAGTTTTTTACAGTAAGAACAACCATTCACTGGAACAACCTCCACAGGGATATGGAGGGTTTTAAGAAGTGACTGAACAGGCTGCTGGTTATAATCAATCTCATCTAGGCTTCCCTTGACATGAAAGTTTGGACCAGATGATCATTCAAGGCCCCTTCCAACCTGGGCTGCTCTACAATTCTGCAATTCTATTTTAATATTTTCAGTGAATATTGACTCATGTAACTATAATCTGATTTATTTGAATTATAAAGATAATACTTAGTGTAATTTAATACCTTTATGAACTTAGTGTATTTGCTATTCAACAGAAGTTCAACAGCATATTTCATGCCTTACATAGATAAACCCATTTCTGTTCATATGTTACTTAGTACAACTGAGCTGTTAGGTTTCTGAATCAAAGTACTGTACTTAAAATGTTCTTTTAAGTATACCTATGTCGTGGTTTAAACCCAGTCAGGTAATTTGTTCGCTCACTTCCCCCCCTTTCTTGCCCTCCCCCTGCTCCCGGAGGGACAGAGAGGAGAATCGAAAAGAATTCAACTCCCACGGGTTGAGATAAGAACAGTTTAGTAACTAAGGTATAACACAAATCACTACTGCTACCACCAATAATAATAATGATAAAGGAAATAACAAGGGAAGAGAATACAACACCTCAGCACCAGCTGACCGATAACTTGCCCCCCTCAGCCCAACCAAGCACCGACCCATACCTCCTCCAACCCTGCAGTCTCTCAGCCCTTCCGGCTAACTCCCAGTTACATCCTGGGCATGACGTGCTGTGGTATGGAATACCTCTTTGGTCAGTTTGGGTCAGGTGTCCTGTCTCTGCTTCCTCCCGGCTTCCCCTTCTCCCTGGCAGAGCATGAGGCTCACAAAGTCCTTGGCCAAACCAAAACATCATTGTTATCAGCTCTGTTCCCGAGCTGAAAGTCAAAACACTGCACTGCACCAGCTACCAAGAAGGGGAAAAATGACTGCTACTGCTGAACCCAGGACAACCTACAGACTACAAAACTACCTCAGAAAAGAAACGTATCAGGGCTCTGAAAGCAAACAGAAAGACCCGATTGTGGGATATTTTACAAGCTATTTTTACAGTACGTTGACATCTCGAGGTCAGTAAGTCCCTGTGAGTAGGCTCCAATATCCCCAAGTGACAGTATAACTATGCTCCCTCTTTCTCTGCTTTTAGTTGTTCATGCAGTAAGAAAAATGAGTGATCATACAGCTTTCTTTAAAGTAACTATGCATCCTTGTAAACAAGCCTTTTACTTAGGTCTTCTTCATAAAAGAAGGACTGATTCCAAAAACAGTTTCCAGGAAAAGCAAGGTTGAATAAACATAATTTCAGAGAGATGGTAACATGTCTTAAGAATGATGGTACATCCCTGAAGACTCGGTCAAAGATAGAATGCAAACTGAGAGACTCTCCCAATAAAAGTCCATAAAAATTATTTACCTCTACATGGGAACAAACAAAGGAGGTGACTTATAAGCTTTGGAAAACAAAATAACATTCTGTTGGAGTTTTGGCATGGAAGAAGGCAACAGCTCCATTAGAGAATCAAAAATATCAAGATTGTGAGAACTTCTGTTTGGCATTATTCCCAGAACACAAAGCCACACACAAATAAATTCCTTACCATAGGCTTTATCCCAACAAGGGGGATTCTTTTCTCTCACTAGGATCTTTTCTTCAAATCTGGGTTTAACAAAATTCAACTGTCTCCTTCCTTTCATAAATGGTTCAAATTACATTATCGGTTAAAGCAAACAGAATAGTTTGGTTAAATTTATTTTTCTTTTATCTCTCACTTTGATTAGCAAATTAGATCATTCCTACTGAAAATTATTAGGAAAAACATACCTTTCTCTTTTTTTTTTTTCAGTTGGCAGCATCTCTAATATGACAAAACCACAACAATTCTTTCCAAATAATAATAGTTCAAGAATACAATAACGAACTGTACACCAATGTACTGGTTTGGGCTGAGATACTCTTAATTTTCTTCATAGTGGCTGGTATGGTGCTATGTTTTGTATTTGCAATGAAAACTGTTAATAACATGGGGATGCTTTAGTCATTACTGAGCAGTGCTTGCACAGCGTTAAGGTATTTTCTGCTTTTCACACTGCCCCACCTGCAAGTAGGCTGGGGGTGCACAAGAAGTTGGGAGGGGACACAGCTGGGACAGCTGACCCCAACTGACCAAAGGGATGTTCCATAGTATATGATTCCATGCTTAGCAAAAAAAAGCTGGGAACAGGAGGAAGGGGAAAGACAGAGTTACGGCATTTGCTTTCTCAAATAACTCTTACGTGAGATAGGTCGCTGCTTTCCCACAAATGGTTGAACACCTGGCTGCTGATAGGAAGTAGTGAATTAATTCCTTATTTTGCTTTGCTTGCATGTGCAGTTTTTGCTTTACCTATTATATTGTCTTTATCTAAACCCACCAGTTTTCTCACTTTTACCCTTCTGATTCTTCCCCGTTCAGCTAAGGGGGGGGCAAGTGAGTGGCTATTCTATGGAGCTGAGCAGCCCACTGGGGTTAAAACACAAAAACTGGCATTTCCATGAAATTTTTAACTTAATTATGAGGCACTATCTAATGCATTATGGCATTAACATAAACCCATAAACCATAAAGTTTTCCTAACCTGCCTCAGTTCTCCCTCGGGATTCACAACTCACTGCCTCCTTCTGTCATGTCAAACCAATTGTAGGTACACAAAAACTTGAATGACAAAAGCCAATGCAGGTAAAGATTGCACTTCTGAATTCTTTTGGCTTCAAAAACACATAAAACATGACAAAATTAGCTCTCTGATGATGAGTTTCGCTCTTATCTCTGGGGACCAAACCCTGTCATTAGTATTTCTAGCCATCAGTAATACATAATATTAAAAAAGCAGCATAGCACCAGAAGTTTTCAAAATAAAGTGATGATAATTTTCATAACAGTAACAACTGGAAATTAAAGAATAAGTGTATTTGAATTTATCACACTACCTTCTTCCAGGATTGGTCTCAGCACAACAAATGGGATTTCCTGCAATGGTTCCATGTGTTTGTGTCCAGCACTCATAATCTTTATCTGGGGCAAGCAGATGACAAGTATGCCAGGCATACTGGTCTGCCCATGGTACCAGCTTCGCACAGTCCCAGGAATGTCACCCGATACAATTGTACTTGGGGAAGGCAAGCTGTCATTCGGAAGGAATACACAACAAGATTGCACTTCAAGCTGAAAAAACAAAACCAAGAACAATTTCTAAGAAACAGATCACCATTTTTTTTCTCCCAGTGCGGAGTATTCATCTTGGTACAAAGCCTCAAGTTACTCATCTATCACGGTTCATTGAAAACGCTCTTGGCTTTTAGTTGAATTAAGAGGAAAGATGGTATAAAATGATGGCAAAAAATGTATACTTGCAAAGTATGATTATGGCAGGGTAGGGAAGAAGTGTGATTTTGGTCTGTAAATTTGATCAGAAAGGTGTTATCATATAAACAGAACATACCGCTGTCTACATTTCACCAGCTTTTTACAAGAAGCATAATTGAGTCACAAAATGTTCTCACAATAAAGCTGACAAAGGCCTTCTCTTTTTGTAGTTCGTTAGCTTTTGTTAGCAACAGCTAAGCCTCTAAAACTACCCAACAATTTATATGCTGTTACTTTCTATAAAGACTTCTTTTAAGACTTATTTCAGGGAAAATTCCATCTTTACATTGTCAAAAGCAATGAGCATGTACAAAAAGTCTGACCATCAGGTAAACTAGGAAAAATATAAACTGACTTTAAAACAAATGGATGGGTGCATACATACACAAAGATGATAAGGGTGCTTGAGCACCTCCTATATGAAGACTGAAAAAAATGGGGCAATTCACTGTGGAGAAGAGAAGGCTGTGTGCAGACCTCATAGCAGCCTTCCAGTATCTGGAGGGGGCCTACAGGGATGCTGGAGAGGGACTCTTCATTAGGGACTGTAGTGATAGGACAAGGGGTAACGGGTTTAAACTTAAACAGGGGAAGTTCAGATCAGATATAAGGAAGAAGGTCTTTACTGTGAGGGTGGTGAGGCACTGGAACAGTTTGCCCAAAGAACTGGTAAATGCTCCATCCCTGGCAGTGTTCAAGGCCAGGCTGGACAGAGTCCGGGGCGGGGGTCATGGTCTACTGTGAGGCATCCCTAGGGGGTTGGAACTAGATGATCTTAAGGTTCTTTCCAACCCTAACCATTCTATGATTCTATGAAAGAGAGAAATGAATAAAGGTCACAAAGTTTATATAGCTTTTCTCCCGTTTTCATTGCAAAAAGAAGTAGTGCAAATGAAAAAGTGCAATGTGAAATTGCACTTTTTTGTTCTTTATTTTCAAGCAGTGCTGTTACCCTGAAATATTTCTGACATTCTGCCATCTCCTTGTGAGCTTCTAGCAAGGCCAAGTGAACCCAAAGCAAGAATTCAACTCATCACGACTTGTTAACTCGGAGACAGTGTAAACTGCAGTCTCAGTTAGTCTTCCTTGGCTCTTACATGTAATATTCTGCACCTGGATATCAAACAGCCTGCACACTTGAATGGTTTATTAAGCAAGTACAAGCTATGATTCAGTTCATGTCTTCACAATGTTTGGAAAAACCTAGTGTATGAAATGTTGGACACAAGATGTTATTTATAGCTGTGACAAAAGAACATTTGTTTGCTGTAAACTTACGCAACAGTGTCTTTTGATTTGACATCATTGAAGACACCACAGCTTAAAGCTGATAACCAAGGTTTGTACTCCTTACCCTCCCCTGAAGGCTAACAGTCCCCCAAGACCACAATAATGATTTGCAATAGAGATGGAATTCCCCAGCACTGTAAGTACTTTGCCAGCCTAGTGAAGAGAACACAGATATTCATCTTTATTTGAACATTTTTGTGCCCTTTTGCTTAGACAAACTGACAAGAATTCACTACAGAAAAATATAAGTATAATTTTGCAAAAACAAATACATTGTTACATGAAGTCTGTGTTTGTTTCTAGTTTTAGAACTGTTTGAGTTGTAAAATGAAGTTAATTACATCTTTGATAAGTAGTTTATTGATCCAAGGTTGCAGGGTGCACTTTATTTATACTGGATGAAAAGCAACGGTGTATTGTTTCAGATGTAATAAATTTGGATTTATTTTTTTTAAATGGTAAATTAGTCATTGTGTCAATTTGCAAAGATTTTTACAGTGACACATTAGATCGTTTTCTGGTCTATTAGTAATAGGTTGCAGGTCAAGCCATTGTGGGATAATGATAAATAGATGACAAGAGAACTTCTGATCAGTGAAACTTCTGTTCTATCTGTGCATTTGCTGAATAAACAGTTTATAACAAATCATCCATTCTCCATATATATGTACCCGTGAGGATTTACATTATATGCTGCCACAAACCATGTGGTAATAATAATCAAAAAATTCCACCACCTTGAAGAGATACTGTACTTCATCACATTACCAGCAGCAGGATCTGCAGGAGATGTTTTACCGAGTACTCTTGAGAAGAGTTCTCAACACTCAGTAGGGTTTTTACACTTAATTTTACAGTTCAGTACATCTTTGTACTGAAGAAAATTCATTAGATCATTTTTGTTGTATTTTACTTTGCCATATCAAGAATATTGAAGTAGAATCACAACAGTTTCACTCCTTCAAATGCCTGATGAAAATTACTGTTTACATAGGCAGCTACTTTGCAATTCATTTTCAAACAACTTAATGGCAGTTGAACCATGAATTTTGGTGGGGTTTACATGACTGCATCAGGGCCTCCATACGTAATATTACAGGTTTGCTTACAGATATGGTTGGCTTACTTGTGCTTCATTTAAATTTTTATACAAATAACGGAATTTTGCAACATATTATTGCAGGATTCTAAGGCCAATACAATGCTCACGGAAAATTGCACATCTTAGTGCAAGGCATGCAGTTATTATAATTACATAAGAAATAGTGAACTTGGACACACAAGGGCCCAAGAAGTGCAAAACTGAACTGCACCTGCTGAATTTCTCAGAGGCAGATTCTGCTGACACCCAACTATCAATTTCAGTGGCATTCATGCACATTTATCTGACAGAATCTGGATATCTGTTTAATAACAAGTGCCAGTGAAGAAATGGAAGAGTGCGCCTAAAATGATGGATCTATATGTTGAACAAAAGTGAGAATGTGCGCTACAGATTGCTTCACCAATCGGAAAGCGCTTTAAAATATATGTAATCCAAATTCTTAAAATTAAACTACATCAATAGCATATACTAAAGCTATCATATAAATCTTTTTACACTTTTTAAATAACTGTTAAACGGTGTGTCTAAAATTGTGAATTTAATGTAAAATGTGACTGATTTATGTAACTGAATATAAATCTGCAGCAGTAAATCTTGCATTAATGTAAGGATCTGACAATCCAAGGGAAAGAAAATGAAGTAATCTGCCAGTAAGAAGTCCTCAAGCTGGGGGTCAGATCCTACTCATGGAAACCATCTGGTTGGGACCCTCCAAGCCACACCAAACACAAATGATCTTTTAAAAAAATATCCTATTCATTAATGCTTCACAGCTGCACTGAGTGTTACTTCATTTTTCCATGGCAACATCCTTTCTGTTTCAAGGATCTTATTTCAGTTTTGGTAGCAACATGTTCTTTTGCCAATACTGAACACATTCGTGTGTTAAAGAGAAGGAATTATTACAAATTCTTGAAACAGAATCACTCCCTATTTTCATTTCTATTATGTCAAGGCCTATACATGCTAAGTAACGTACACTAATGATAAACCAATGAAGTAAGCAGTATCTTCCCTTCTATTTTTAAAATGTTACACAAGGCATTTGCTCTCAGCTTTTACTAATATATAAGCCTAAAAAAGTGCCATGACTTTAAGACTTTTGTACAGAAATGAAAGTATTAAGTTACTGGAATAAATGGAGTATTTTTAATTCATATTCTATAAAAAGCGAATGCAGCTCAATAGAGAGAACAATGATTATATACTGCAGGTCTTCCTAACTGAAAAGGGTAAGCAGGAGGGAGTGAAACAAAAGTGACATGCCGTAGTTATGTGCAACAAAGGGGGACAGGTTGTACAAGAGTCTTTACAGCCTTTCATGATAGTGATACCTTCACAAACCCATATTTTGTAGCTACAGACCAATCAAAGGCATTATAAATGACCCACAAGTGACACTCACATAAAGGTGTTTCCTCAGAAGTGGCGCTTCTGCGCATAAATCACCATACATTACATGCTCTCAGCAGACAGGTGAATATGTTTTTTCTGGGAGTTTCAGGTAAAGAAGGAAATCCTCCAGTGACTCCCAAAACTGAAAAGAACCACCACTACACATCTCATATAGGGGTTCTGGTGTGGTCATTACTGTAAGACCATCCCTCAGCCTCTGACATCCAAATTAGCTCTACCAAATAAGACCATCTGCATTTGAGCCAGACACAAGCTGTGTGTTAGAATTCAAAAAGGCAAACCAGAAATCTGTGTTTTGAAATTAGACAAAAAGTACAAATTACATAAATGGAAAGCACAGCACATGAGTGAGAAAACTGAGAGAGCAGACTACCTGTTCACACAAATGAGTATAAATGAGGATTAGCTGCATTTTGTTTGATCACTTAAAACATTGTATCTTAGCTCTACACAGTATTCCTATTATTTTCTAAGAAAGCTTGATTTTAATTTTTTTTAATTAAAAAAATTAGTAATAGAAAAATTGATTTTTTTTGTCAGTTTGTGGTAAGTAAACAACTTAAGAAATCATCCTCTCTCCTAACTGCTGAATAACCTCTGATAGTTGTAACTGCTAAGTTACAAGTCATAGAATCTCTTCCTGACCCATGAATAAAGAGTACTGTTCAAAGACTAGGAACTCTAGCCAACTCTATCCTTTAATTTCTGTTCTTTCAATCAATGCTTCACTGACTAAATTTTGTACAAGTTATGCTTTAAATAAAATATTACTTTCAATAATTTCAGGAAACACTCTTTTTTTCAAATAATTTCTGGGATATTTAAAGGCATGTGGAATATCTGGCTAAATTTTCTATGTAATAATTACACTCTCATTTAGTTGGGGTTCATTGCAACATTACTCATTAATTCATTTGCTTTTAATACAGATCCTTCATTGTTCTCAATGGAATTCAGCATTAACAACCAATTAAAAATAATTGTGTTTATACTACTCCACAATTTTAGCAACTATTAGGATGAAGAACACGTGAAAAGTGAGCACTACCCTTCTACAGGGTGCAACTGCCAAAAAGACTTCAAGGCTGCATATAAAATCCTACAACAACTAAATAATAAAAACAACTTCTTATAGTTAAGTATGAAAGTCTTTTCACTTAAATACTAATAGCTAACCACAACTCTAATGCACAACATTTTCATGCAATATTCCATCATGAGCAAGACAGGGCTAAGGCTAAGCAAGTACCAGCTTTGGGTCCAAAATAAACTTTCCAGTTACTTTGGTTCCAAACACATTTACTTACTCAAACTTCCACTAAAAGAATAATCCTTTGATGATTTTAAGTTATGAAGTTCTGTTTTATCTGATGACAACTAGAGACTTTTCTGTTCTACAATCATGTTAATAAAAGATCCAGGAACATGAAACTAGCTTTAGAAAAAAACTAAGAGTCTATGTGCTCAGCATATAACCAGACAAAACATTCTAGAAATTTGCCTTTTTCATGCCAACTTATAAAAAAACACAGAAAATCAGGATGAACTTAACATAAAAATCTATTTATGTGTTTAATAAAATGAGTATTATGGTTAATAAATAAATATACTGCTCTTGAATTGAAAAAGAGACTCATAATTCTCATCATCTTATCACCTATACATTGCCTTGCAGAAATTTCAGCTTTCCCATTTAGGCTGGTATTGAAGGTAAAAAGCTATATATGTGCATTTATGTCTTGAAAAAAATGTATTTAGATAAAATAGCCACAAGGACTGCTAGGAATAATAAAAAGAACAGCAAGCATATCTATAAATCCTTCATATTTCACCAAGAAGGAGCACTGTGTATTTGTCTGGCAGCATGTTCTGGGACTTTAGTGTTTCCTTGGAGTCTGCTGAAACTTTTCACTGGTAACATGTAATATCCTTCTGGCAAGACCCTGGCAAGTACCTTACCCAGTATGATCAAAGCATAAGGACGAAACATATCAGAAGTGTGTAAGCTGTTGTATGAACTCATAGGGTCTTTTTAATTTCAACACAGAAACTAAAAATGTAATTTCATATTCATGCTGATGAAAATAGAAAGCATGAGTATGTTACCAAAAATAGCTGTAAAAAGCAAATAAATCTAGAACCTCAAACACACCGGAAAGAATATCTAATACAAAAAATCCCCTGCCCACACTAACTGTTTTAACTCTAACCCATGAGTTTATGCTATGTAAGAACAGAAATACATTTAGAAATGACTCTGAGAAAACATGTGCCTATCACTGTCACCATCTTTTATCTCCACAAAACAGTCACTAATTTGGGTGCAACCTTTTTTTGTTTGCTTGTTTGTATTTGGTAACTGACCAACTTCATTTTTAGCTGGTATCTTAAACATTCTTTGAAACAAATACAGTTTGCTCACATAAAAAAGCGTACCTCAAAAAAAAATTCAATTTCTCCCATTTATAAAGGACCAGCTCTTCAACATCCTCATTAGGATATTATTATTTTTATTATGACTCAAACTGTAAGCCTCATTTAGATAGGGAATCTGACTGTGATAGGTACCACTCAGACACATAACAAAAATGAACTGCTTTCTTCAAACAGCTTAAAAGTTACCTCTCTGGACTCCCCTTATCTAGCCATTTCAATCTCCAGTGCTGACAACATAAGGAAGGAAAACAAACAAAATACTCATGAAATAATGGTGAAAGAGCTGGCTGAAAACTAAACAGCTAACAGAAAGCATCTTCTCAACTTCAATGTTTTGCAATCAAGTCACAAATCTGAAGTTCTTGCTCAGGCAAAACTTAAAACTTTCAGAATTTCTAATATTGTGAACCCAAGGTACTTCCTGCATGAAAGGGGCATAAAACAAACACAGGTTCTGGGACAACACCATATATAAGAAAATATATGTCTTGGTAGGAAGGAACAGATGATTCAATGATTACTTTCTGTCAGATATAAGGGGTCTTTGTATTTTTAAAATTTTATTTTAAGACAAAACCAGTTTTGCTACAATATACTGGAGTACCATAATATACCAATCTCAAAGAATGCACCGTTCAAGAGGCACAAATTATAATAATTGAAGTTAGGGTAATTTCTAAGCAGACACTTCATTCATACTTGGAAGCACAGAATCTTAATCCTAGCATTTCAAAGCCTGCCAGTTTTTGTTCTTGCAGTCTTAACACTGGACTTCAAACATGGCCCTTCTTGTGTATAGTATGCATATATACTGCATATACTGCTTTGCTTTTATTGATCAGTGATCACAATCTAGAAGAATCTGGGACGAAAAGGTTTAATTCAAGTGGTCATCTACTTGTCCTTCATGAAAAGGTAGACAAGTAAGCAGCTGAGACATCACTGTATAACATCATACATACCAAGAAAGTGTTTATCATACATACTTTCCTCAACTATATTCTGCAAATCTAACAATGGATAGAAAGGTGTATAGGTATGTTTATAATATAGAAAAGTATTATAAGCATTTTTTCTTCATTTAATTTTTAAGAATCTTCCCTCTTAGATATAAAATCTATTTCAAAAATTAATATTCTAAAACCAAAGCATTCTTTCCTTAATTGACAAAAAATCTGTATTTTATTTTTCATTCTCTAAGACTTTGAAACTACTGAAATAAGACAATAAAACTTGGGAGCTCCTTTAAAAAACCTCTAATAAAAACTGCTAGGATGCATAAAAAGAATCATAAAGTTTAGAAAGACATAGGTTTTTTTTCACTTCCTTTTCATCTTACCTGAAGTGTAAGGCACTTAACTGCATTCCACACTATTCCAATAAATTCCTTCATTCTTTCTTCAGGACTTCTGCAGCTTTCAGATGAGTTCAGCATGGTTTTCACAGGAAGTGACAAAGGACGAGATTCTAATGCAAACATCAAATCTCAGTTACAGACGGAATATATAACTAAGTAATATGCTTACTTGTAGCAAAGAAAAAGATTACTTAAATTCTAAAAGAGATTTTCTCTCACCATGTAACTCACTATGGATGCAATAATAGTGTGTCTATTATGAGTTTTAAACTTGGCAATACAACTGTACCAGTTGAGGCCAGTGAGAAACGTAATGAAATGAAATGCTTAAACTTTTTAATGTAAACTGCTAAGAAAATATTATGAAGAATTCTTGACCTAAGCAAATTAAGACAGTTTTCAAAGTGTGATAACCTATTTGGTGACAGAATAGCAACACAAGAAGTACTCACATACACTGATGCCAGTTTAATCTAAAAAACGTTTTCTAAAATTGTTGTAAGAAATGGAGGACAGCCCACATTAAATTGCAACCTTTGATTAGTTTTCTTTTAAAAGTTCACTTAAAAACTTGAGTACGCTTCAAAAAGAAAAAAAAGTCATAAAAATTAAACCATTTTCTTCATCAAGCATAAGGTACTAAAGTATGACATATTTCAGCAAAATTAAATATTTTCTAGTAAAAAGAGAAATTTCCTTAAACTGTTAGTGATTTAGTAACATAAAGATGAGAAGATTTTTGGTAACAGAGCATTTAATTGAATACAAGCATAGTAGAAGTACAAAACTGGACTAATGAGGAGACCAAGTAGCAACAGCACATTCATTCAAGACTTTATGAATGGTACATAGTTCCTCCTGTCATCTCTTACAGAATATCCTCTTTCTTATGTTTTGGGATACCCACCAAATTATTGTCAGATTCTTCAACATTTCCAGTTTTGGCCTACACGTTGTTGAGCTGACAAAACTGCAGGAATAAATTATGAAGTCTTCGTGATTTCATTTTAAACTAATTGAACTCGGCACAAAGGCGACTATTTGTCTCCCAGTTATACAGATAGGAGAAAACTGTGGCATACAAACTACAGAAAAACTGTCAAAACAAAATTAAGCTACCAACTGAACTCAGATAAGCAAAAGTAGATGCCCCTTGATATGCGTCACTGGGTCTTCAGTCAGTTTTGGTCGTGCAAGGAAACATGCAAAGGTTTTTAAATTAAACATCTGAGAGGTGAATTTCTGCCAAGAGCATGCAACGGTAATGCCACTTGAGGAATAATTTTGTGACTTTCTTCTCATCAAGGCCATAAAAGACCAGAGTTGATTAATATTTTAGACAAAATCCTTTAACAAATAGTATTTTTAATGACCTGAAAAGAACAAGTATTAACTTTATTAAACTGATGGGGAATCAAAAGATTCAGAGAGAGGTGGTCAAAAGAATGAAACGGAATTTTTACGGCTGCAGTATAATTAGTCCTCCCAGATACTGCTGGCTCCAATTATGGCTCTATTAGAAGATAAAGAATGAAAACTGGATTATGAAAATGTAAAACATGACATCTCAGGATTGTCTGTTGTAGGCCGTGCTGGGGAGACAAACAAGCAAACTATTCATATGGAGAAGCAGCGTGGAGTAGTTACTTCATAGTTTTTTATCACGTGGACACTCACACCATGCAGTGAGTATTCCATCCACATTATGAATGGATTAAATTAAAAACATTCAGTGAGGAATAGCTGTTCTGTTTTAACTTCTCACCCTACTTCAGTTCACACCACCATCTCTGTGTAGTCAGGCTGTACACTACACATATTACAAGGTAAGAATGAGGAACAGCTTGAGTATCAAGAAATATTAATATAAAAGAGTTACTGCATCATAGAACTCCAGAATACAAGTGGGGTAAGGGTTGGAACTCTGGAAATTTCAAAGGCAGGAATGCTTCAGGTCAGGAAGATCAGATAAATACAGTGTAAAACTATACAGCACAACCAGCAGGGAATATCAGCATTCTACATCACTGAAGAAGTGCATTCTTTGTGAGTGGGATCTAAAGCTAGATTTTAGTCAAGTCTCCTATGCTTTGTTTGCTCGGAAACGCACTCTGCTAATTCTCTCTCAATTAGGGAAATGGACTTTCTAATGCCACAAACAACTACCTGTGAATGAAAACCAAAATCAGCTGCTGAAGCACCACCTGTTTCTCCCCATATATGTGTAATCCAAACCTGCAAAACAGAACACCCACAACAGACAACACCTTCCCTGTAACACACTATACTCGATCAAAAAGGCCAAACGAAAAAAACAGCAAACCAAAAAGGAATCATTCAACCAGAAATCCTGGAAAATACAGAAGCAATAAGAAGTGTTTCAGAGTGGAAAGAAGAAACAAGCACAGAATTAACTCCTGAAAAGAAGTCTTCTGTTCATTTTTTTCCTGTCCCAGAGTTTTCTCTGAAGGGATGCTGAGAGAGAACAATGTCTTAATTCCCTATCAGGCAAGGCCATCAGTAGATGACAGCTGCTAAGAGACTGTAGTACTCTGGTGTGGCCATTGCATGTGTTTGGCTAGTCCTCTATAGCAGGCATGTAGGCTGGATCAGCTCCATCTGTCTCACTATGAAGGTTAATCTCCTAAAATAATTATGCTACTCGGCTACTACCTAACTGAAAACCTTAGGAACATTTGCTGGCACTGCAATCAGCCTTGTGTTGAAGCCCAGAGCCAGTCAGCAATAGCTAGATATGAAATATGAATTGTATGAAATACTTACAAATGGATGGGGGGGGAACCAACAACAAAAAACTCATAAACCAATGGAGGGGGGACTGCTTCAGGTTGTACAAATGGAATTTTTAGGGAAACCAGAGTACAGGAACATAAAATTTTCCTACTCACATCTTCTAGTCCTATTTTTGTAAAAAGATACACCACAATTATTTCAATCATAGCATAGCATCAACTAGGTTGGAAAAGACCTTTAAGATCATCAAGTTCAACCAGTCTCTGAGCCTGCCACACTCACCCTCAACTGCAGAACACACACTGGTGATGATCTGAGTTTTCAGAAAGGGCTGATAAGATCAATCAGAATTGAGCTATCAGAAGTAGCAGCTTTCATAATTCATTTCAAAATTTATGGTTAAAGTATAGTGGGAGTTCCCAGTGACAATCCTGCAAAATTAATCATAAACATAACTGTCTTTGTAGGAGATGCCACTAAGCAAGACTTACAGGTAAAAATTCTAGATAGAGGTGCCTTTCTTATATAGATATATTCTTCCTCTTTTGTGGGTTTTTATTTTTTTAGCCTACTGGGAACCGGTTGCTTTAGAAGTCTGATCCATAAAATATTTAGAAGTTCTAAAAATAGATAAGCTCTTTGGGGAAAATGGTGCTATTCTGTGCTATTAATATTCAGTGACCTAAGGAACACAAAAGCAAAACCACAACTTTTGATGTGTAAAGATTTGTGGCAAATGGACATTTCCTCAAATAGATCAAAGCAGAAAAGACCACAGATCTTCCACATATTTTCCACTACTGGGTTGAGGACTAATGATAACCTGTACTCACAGCCGGCCCCATGCGTTCAGCTCTTCCTCTCCTTACCGATAGTCACTGAACTAAAGAGAAGCAAAATAGAGAGCTAGTATCTTACTCCTAACGTGTATGTGGTGCAGATCTATCATGTCTCATCCCTCTGGCACAAGGTGACTCATTTCCCCCAGCCCTCTGTGTGCCTCAGACACTTCATGCATTAAGAGGGCAGCAGCTTCCTTCTGGTCGGAAAAGGTTATCCTGCTGCAGGCAAACCTGTACTTTCAGTGATCCCTAAAAGCTCAGAGAGCTCCTACTGAACGACAAGGTTCATTGTCAAAAAGCCATGCCTCTCCACCATCTCATTGTACGACTGTACTCAAAATGCACCTGTCATTTGATGTCATTTGAAGCTTTCCTTCCCACATCACATCATCTGCCAAACAGCTTCTCACACATCAGAACTGAGTTAAGCTGAGAAAAATCCCAGTGCTAAATAATCATAGTTACTAAGAAGCCATGACAGCAAAACACATGAACATTAATAGTATTGAAAAGAAGAAAGAAATCACAGGAAGGTAAACTGCTACTACATGTCTCTTTCTGGAAAGATTTTTCCAGGGCTCAAATTAGAAGTAGTCTCCATAGTGGCAAGGAACTCACTGGGATTTCTTAATATTTATTCACATTTTCATGTATTAGATACTGCTTCTCATCAGAAATAAAAATACCAAGGTGTATTTGTTGTAAGACAAATGTAAGCCATTAAGGAACTGATCAAGAGGCCCAAGGGATTACAAATGAGATTAAAGCGCAGTGGAGCAGAAAATTCAAACAACTCAAAAAAAATCTAAATATCTAAATGGCCTACAGCTTTTTGGGGATTGTTTGTTTGGTTTTTTTTTTTCAGAAGATTAATTGGTTTCTTCATATGTAAAACAAAACAAGAACTACACACTGCCAAAAAAAACACCAAAGACACCACCTATTTAAAACTTACTTGTTCCTTTCTGTAAACCAGCAGTATTTGGATTCTACATTCAATATTATGAAAAAGTAAAAATTCAGTGAAGCTTGTTACGTAAAAGCTTGTTTTTCCTTAGGTTTGCATTCCAATTTTCCTCCTAAGTTTACATATTTTTATATTTACAGCAAAAAAGAACTAAAAATATATTTCTACAGGGAGAGATGTATGAGGCATTACAAATGATTCACACTTTTATGTATATATGTACAATGGCCAAAAAAACAAATTGTGTTCTCAACATAATGTATTTCCATACAATAATTATGTTCCATGATTTAATATTAGAACATACAGAAGAAATGGCAAAAACAGAGTAATATCTTGCAAAAAATACTTCATATCTTAATATACAATTTTCCCCTCAATTAATTAAAAAATAGAAAGTTAATCTAAATAGCAGGCTCACAGAAACCATCAGGTGAAGCTCAAAGCTGTACTTACCAATACTTTCTGAACCATCAGTATCATCAGAAGTGTTTCAGAATATTCACATTTTATTTTTGCTGTATTACAAGCTATTCCCTATACCCCC